ATGTGGGGTAGTGAACCAGTGGATGGAAGATCTTTCTGTTTCTCCTTCTCTCTGTAAGTCTTCCTTTCCAATAAAAATAAACAAATCTTTACAAACAGCTTGATTCTATTCTTTATTGTCTGTTTTCTTTCTTTTAAAGGTTTATGTCGGCTTCCCACAAGCATGGCAGGGACTTCTTTGCTGCTTTCCCGGGCGCATTAGGAATTAGCAGAGTCAAGAGTGAAGCAGCCAAAACTCAGAGCGGTGCTTGCTCAGGATGTCGGAATTTCAACAAGCAGTTTAACCCACTGTGCCAGAGTTTCAGGTATGTATTCTTTATTATTTTCTTCCTTCTGGTAAGTTGGGCTCAACTTTTTTTTCTGCCCTCTTGAGATGAATGAATTTGTTTTTATTTGAGGTGCCTTTTAAGATGTCTTTTGTCACCATAAATTTCCTTAATGGTAGTGCATTGATAAAAGGCTTACATTTTAGTATGTTTTATTTTTGGATTCATTTGTCTTGAGGTAGTTTTCAACTTATTTTTTGATCTTCTCTTTGACCCAATGATTGTTCAAGAGGATGTTGTTTAATATTGATTTATTTTTCTGCTTCATGGTGTTCAGGAATCACACTTGTGGTTTTTATTTTCTTAAATTTTTACTGATGTGACCTGTGGCCTGTATACTCACTGGGCTGGGAGCAGGTTCGATGAGTACCCCATGGACCCAGGGCAGGCAATACCTGCAGTACACTACCAGTCTGGGAGCAGGTTGGCCAAGAGCATTAGGAGTCCTATGTAGCCAGCATCCATGTCTTGGCAAAGTACCTGTCTAGGAAAGGGCAACCCTTTGCAGACTGCCCTATGGCATTCCAAAATGCAAATCTGGGAGTGGCAGGCCAGCAGCCTGATTCTGGGTGTCTAGTTAAGCCATATCCATAATCCCCACTGAGCTTGGTCAGGGGCTTGATGGTGAGGTCCTGTGGTGTGTGAACACTAATGACCTTTACCACAGGAATCCTGTCTAGCTTGCAGCCCTGTGTAATACTACACTGTAGGTAAAGCAGGACATGGAACTGATGGAATCCAAAGCTAGGTTGTCACAACCATGCATGGTCCTGGGATCTGAAGATGGGATCTTGGCAGAGAGATCCCCATTGATGGTCTGTGGTATCTCTACTTCATGTTTGTCAGCCCCAGAAGCAATGAGATCTCAGGTCTCTGTCTCTAGACTGGGGTGTATGTCCTGCATTTGTGCTGCTGCCTGCTATTTTGACTGCTGTGCAGGGGAGAGGATCATGCCAGGTACACAAGAAGAATAGGTTGACCTGCTCCTCCAAACCACTTGAAGCTGGTGGATGCCTCTTCAAAGAACACAATAAGGCTACTGAAATCTCAGAGCGGTGACAGTTGTGCAGGCGATTTGGCCATTGGTTCCAGCTACTCTTTCTATGGCCTGTGAATCTGTTCCATTAGATAAAATATGGAAACATTTCTGAATGTGGGAATAGAAGACCTATACCCCTAATCAGCAGGAAGTAGCTACAGATAAGGTGAAACCACATCCTTCAGCAACCCTTAAGAATACAGATCAGAAGTCTCAGGAGGGCTTGAAATAGGATAGGCAGATAGCAGGCTTAACCTCTCCAATGGGAAATGTCAACTCTCACACCCTGTGTAATACACTCTACCTACCTGTTAATCAGATTATCCTCCCCCTAGGTTGTACGCCTCCCTCACCTGGACCATTCCCTTTCCCAGGCAGAGCAATGGGGAGGGTCTCAAGATAGACAAAAGACCAAAGTAGAAACATCTTTCTCACATTTCACTCCCCACCTACCCCCTGAACACATGTGGGAGACCTAGAAGAAGCTCCTGGCTCCTGGTTTTGGATTGGCTCAACTCTGGTTGTTGTGGCCACTTGGGGAGTGAATCAATGGACGGAAGATATTCCTCTTTGTCTCTTCTCCTCTCTTTATATCTGATTTTTCCATAAAAATAAAATAAATCTTTTTTATTAAAAAAAGAAGTAAACATTTCTAAAATGACATATGAATTTTCTGATTCCCTTGGAATTTAGAAAAAAAATTTTTTTTACTAGGTCTTTCTAATTTCCATGACAGTGTAACAGTCACACTATTAATAACAAGCTTTTTTCCCTTTTGCCTGGGCACACTGACCCAGTTAAATCAAGGTGTACTTGAAATAACAATATGTGAAAATGACTCTCATTTAATGAGGCATACTAAGTTTGCCAATAAGAAAGAAAGTTATAGAGTTAATGCCTATACAGTGCTCCCATGATTCTGATTTACTTCTTGACCTACAGGATCCCAGTCACATAAAAATAAAGAATATTGTTTCCAGGCAAGCCAAACATACTTGACATTTTGGGAATGAGTGGAGAAGGAGAATTCATTTCTTCATAGCGTCACAAATAAATGCAACATATGATAGATGTACTGAAAATCCCCCCAAAAAAGATTCCTTATGAATATTCATGATAGGGGTTAATAATATACCTTTTGTAACTGCTTAAAAATTGAAGGCAAAACATACAGCTGATTTCTGATTGCATCATTACACAGTTTACTTGAGTCAAAATAACACATCGTGTCATGTAAATATATAGAAATTTTGCTTCATAAGAAGACTTTCCAACAAACTAAAGAAGAACCACCTGGATATTTCACATATTTTACATAACAGTGAAAATAATCCAAATCTAATGAGGTGACTGTTTTCTTTTTTCCCATCAACCATCTTTTGTGAAAACAGAATTTTGTACAACTGATCAGGAACTGGATTCTATCCTATATTATCTTCTAGGGGATTTTACATTTTACAGTTCACACTTAAGTCTATGAGTCGTTTTGAGTTGATTTGAGGAAGGTGTGCTGTCTGTGTATGTCATTCATTCCACTTACACATAAGCATCTAACAAACATATACACACACATACACACAGATTGTTGCTATTATTATTCTGAACAAACTACTATGTTCCTTTTAGATGCAACACCAAAAAGGAATCAACCATGAAAGAAATAATAATCTAAAATCACAAAAATCCAAATCACTGCTCTATGAAAGACAATAGCAATGGGATGAAAAGACAAGACACAGACTTCAAAAAAAAATTATTTGCAGAAGACGTGTCTGCTAAAGGACTATTCACAAAACTATTCAAAGAACTCTAAAGTCAACAACAACCAAAATATTCAAACAACCTGTTTTCCAAAGAGACAAAAATCAAGGCGTGCACTAAGGTGAAGTGTGGACTAAGGATGGTCACACTGCATCCATGTGTTTGCTCATCTGTTGTAGGATGTTGATGGTGAGGAGGTTCATTCTTGTGCAGGGATGGGGAATACACTTTCCACTCAAATTTACTGAACCAAAGATTGTTTCATTAGTTAATAGGTTAATGGAATAGTCGATCTGTTTGCTGTTCTTATATTTGCCAAAAAACAATAGTTTTGTATTTTTGAGAATTATAGTTTGATAGTTTAGCAAGATAGAAAATCAGATAAAATTCATCTAAATGTCCTAGAATGAATAATGCAACATTTTATAGAAATCGTTCTTAAACTTTGTACAATCTGGCAAAGACATTCCTTTTATTCTTTTTTTTTAAAGATTTATTTGTATAATTGCAAAGTCAGATATACAGAGAAGAGGAGAGACAAAGAGGAAGATCTTCCATCAAATGATTTACTCCGTAAGTGACCACAATGGCTGGAGCTAAGCCAATCTGAAGCCAGGAGCCAGGATCTTCTTCCAGGTTTCCCACGCAGCTGCACAGTCCCAAGGCTCTGCGCTGTCCATGACTGCTTTCCCAGGCCACAAGCAGGGAGCTGGATGGGAAGTGTGGATGTTGGGACACGAACTGGCACCCGTATGGGATCCTTGCTTGTACAAAGCGAGGACCCTAGCCACTAGGCCACCACACCAGGCCATCCCTTTTATTCTTAATCCCCTTTTCATACTTGCTACAAAGAAGACATTTGATTTCATTAAGGTGCTCCATTCTATGGGTAGAGTATTTTTTTTTTTTTGGCCAGAGGCTGTTTGTGTTTTCTGATGATGAAAGTCTTTTGTGTGGTTAATATATTAACAGAGTTTAAGTAATCAAAAGGATTTCCCGAACATGACAGGTAGCAGCTTATCAGGTCAAGTACACTTTATTTATTAAATACACATTGCTGCCCTTTTCTAAGGTGGAAATTGGTTCAACAATCGCTTGAATCCATCCAGAACCTTTGCTTTAGTCCCTTGAATAAGTATTATCTGTTTAAAAAGTATTTATTTATCCTTATTGCAAGTGAGATATACAGGGAGTAAGGGAGACAGAGAGGAAGATCCTCCATCCAATGATTCATTCCCCAAGTGACTACAAGTGCCCAAGTTGAGCCAATGCAAAGCCAGGAGCCAGGAGCCTCCTCCAGGTCTCCCACACGGGTACAGGGTAACAAAGCTTTGGGCTGTCCTCGACTGTTTTCTCAGGCCACAAGCAGGGATTTTAATGCTGTCTCATGAATTATCACTCAAATTATGCATGTCTTATTATGGCAAATGAAAAACAAACATACCTCCCACACTATTGCTATCTAAATAAGAGCAACTTTACCATGCATTAAAACTTACTAAAAGGGTGTTTAAGCATATTTCCACTGGGAATTTAATACTAACCAAATGTTCCTCTGAGGTATCCCTTTTTATTATCAAGGAAATAAATGATATTGTGGCTATTAGAAAACTCTAAGGGGAAAAAAATCCATTCGGATATCTACTTCCCAAACACACAACAGAATAATTTGAGACAGAATTCAATGCAAAAGGTTGAATAAGAGGACAGATGCTGTAACATGTTGATTGGACATTTTTGGAAACCCACTTTATAAGTAAGTATTTCTGAGCAAATCTCTTTTATAACATTTATTTAAAAAGTGCTCTAATAATAAAAATCATATTCCAGCAAGAAAGTATAAAGTTGATAATTAACAAAAAACTACAGAATTGCAAATACTATATCTTTATTCAACATAGAAATCTCATGAATCCTCTTCCATTCTTTCTCTCACTATCCTCTATTTTTATGAGTCTTTGTTCTTTGTTTCAAGTGCTGACATCCGTAAATATTCATTTTCAAGCATTTCCTTGTTCAGATTCTAAACAGAAGAAAAAGAAAAATCAGAAGAATTCTGTGACTTACAGAAATTTTAAATATTTGCATTGTTGAACTTAATTGTTGCCGATTATTTTAGTAAGGTGGTTACCAAGTCTTCATATTTTAAAATGGAGAATCAAATGTTTTGAGGCAAATACTGTATTATTTAACAAAACCAAAGGAAGCTTTTATATATCACATATCCTGTGTTCTACCATCTGCATAACTACAGTGACAGATTTCATGATCTTAACTAACATACTACATTTAAAAATACCATATAAAGATCATGGACAGTAACTATACCATCACTGGATATGGGCTATAAATTCATATTAGGTAATTTGGTTCTTCTTGTGTGGTAGCAAATTCTTGGATTAATTTATAAACAAATCATGTCAGACAGTAGTGACTAGGAATTACTTCATTCTTCCTCCTAAGAAACTGTCAAATATTTCACACAGTTCAACGCACAAATAATGCAGCAGGGGTTTTTATAACATGGAAATGACACATTTGACTCCAGAATCATCCTTATTCAATGAATGGAGATGTTTCCTTATTTAATTTAGCATTAGGTTTTGTTGTTAATACTTTACCAGCACTGCAGGGGTCATGGTATTGTTCAATAGTAAATTCATCTGAAATGCAAAAGTGTTTGGGAGGAAAGGATGAAATGTTCAGAAATAGGCATCTTATCAATGAATAATAATTTAAAAAATTAATAATAATCAATGAATTATGTGATCTAAGAAAGAAAAGACAAAGATTTTTCATCAGCCAATACAAACAACACAATGATTCACTTCTGTCCTAACCTGTTTGGAGGACAAGACCTAGAGAAAGCTGAACTTGGGCACAGAATTGAGGCACAGCCCATACAGATGATGGTTTGTGTGTAACCACAAGCCTCTGAGTAGTCACCCTTGGCAGCTATGATTTTTCCTTGAGCTTCCTGAATATTTCCTTAATCTTACAGGAAAGTAAATCTCAAAGCTAACTGCATGTGATGCTGCTGGCAGGTTTCTGGTTCAACATAAATACAGTGGAACGATTTCCTGACATATTACAATATTTGCAAAAATCAGTGAAACTATCCAAAAGTACCCATCAAAAACAAAACAAGTTCTCCCATGACGAATCAGTACTGACAGGTACTTTGTTGTTGCTGTGATTGTACTTTTAAGACTTTGGGGGAGAAGTTTGTCATAAGTCAAATACCTCTACAGGAAAATTCAGATGGAAGAGATGATGTATTGCTTTATGAGTGATTTATAGGGATGCCTCTGAGTTTCATTCAGGAGACTGATACAAGAACATCATTACTCAGACAATAGACTTAATTCTTTCTCTTAGTAAAAGATTGTGAAGTCTTGCTTTACTTAAGCCAACCTCTTTTAATCTAGTCATAATTTTCTATTGAAGTTCTGCATATCTAAATGCCACTCACCTGTCTCATAATAATCATAGGCTTTTACCATAGCTGGTTTTAAATTCTCTATTTGGATGTCTTGTTCCACCAAGAAGGAGAAATCCAGAGCTTTATTTGTTAGCTAGAGAGAAAAGAAAACTAAGTTAGAATCAGTGATCGACTTGGTTAGTAGTTATCTTTTTTTATTTTAAAACATTTCCTTAAATACTTGGAAACTAGAATGACAGTGAGACATGGAGAGAAGGGGGTTTTCTATTCTTTGGTTCACTCCCTAAGTGCCTGTAAGAGTCATAGCTAGGCAAGGTCAAAGTCAAGACCTAGAAACGCCACCTGAGTCTCCCACCTGGCTGACAGGCATCCACGCTTATGTTATCATTTGTTGCTTCCTAGATGTATTGGCAGGAAGCTGGGTTGGAAGCATGGAGTGACAGGGACTATGATAACTGACATGGGAATTCCAAGCTGGGATTTAACCCATGATACTACAATTGCCCACCCCACCATTCTTTGTTCTTAAGATACTATACAACCTTGTAATTATGCTGTCTTGTACCAAAATGTAGGAGAGGGGACATCTTGTGACCTGCATAATGTGCCCAAGGACAGATAAAATGATAGAATTCTATGAATGGTTAAATGTAGTAAATCGAGCATTGCGACCAGCCCAGTCCTCCTTTCCCATTGTAGCTGTTCTTCTTCCAGGGGTGTGAATGTGAAAAGCCCTGTTTGGAACCTGAATTGGCTTGCTGGTGCCTCTCATAGTTCTCACACAACCAGAAGAGTCTCGGAGTGTTCTTACCTCTTCAAAGTAAATTAGGACATGGTTGGTGTTCACCTCTGTCCTCTGAATCTGAGGATGTTCTTGGAGCTGTTGACCAAGGCAGAAACATGGATGAAGAAATTGTATATTGGCAGCAGGATGTGTGCATTTCTTATCTAAATAACTTCTCAGGTGAATACCAACAGCCAATTTAGAATTCTTCATCCAAAATTTATTGAAAGTTCTCTATATATGCTATGTTTGTGTATGCAGATTAATATATGTGATGAATATATATTTGCTATAAGTGTGCTTACATATACAGGTAAATATATGAGAATTCTTAAGAAAGTTCATGTCAAAGGCAATTATGAAAAATTATGCATGAGTTTCATAACTTTTTCCCACTAAGTTAAGCTTATCTTTCTATTCTCTTTTTGCATGAATTTCCCAAAAAAACACACAAAACAAACATGTATTTGTGTGAATATGTCAACACCCTTGTGGTCTTATTTTCTTTGCATATGTGGTTAGAAGACAACTCATTATCATGAGACCCAGAATGAAAATGATGGAAGCACACTTTACAGAGTCAAGTTTGAGGGAGGAAACCTCTTGAAACATAAATGAAATAGAGAACCATAAATGCCAGTCAGCATCCGTCATGCAGCAGATTTTGATACATGCAGCACTCAGGACTTACTTTTTTCACTGATGTTTTCACAGGTATGAAGCCCGATACCATCTTGACATCAACAATGACCATATTAGAGGTGGGTCGTCCCCCAGTATAACTGTAAAGCCAAGGCACAAACAATGCAAATTCATTTAAGATAGAAATCTCCCTCTCTCCAGGACTTCACTCAGTTTCTCTATTTCACTTAAGGTTGCTTGAGAAGACCATCATTTCAAATTCACACTCTCCTATTTCCGAAGTCATCAAGCTTTGCAATAAGAAAGAAGTTTGTGGCTAAGAAATACTGTCAGGATTCCATGTTGATTATATGGGGTTTGGGACAACAGAGTTCCTCCCCCCCCCCAAAAAAAAATAACATCCCCATTTACAAAAAAACAGCCACAATTAGGTTTTACCTAATGTTAATGTTAATCTGGAATGTCCTGCGAGTATGTGCTCCACCGCAATTCTTGGGGTCAGTAGTAACCTGAAGACTGAAGGGTACTTTCCCCTCTTTCTTGGGTAGGATATTGTATCTCAGGGATGTCTAAAGCAAATAGAGAAAAATTATCCTTGCAATCACATAAGTTAATAGTCTAAAGAATTATGCATCTCTTTAACATGCAATTTTAAAACAATTTTTTATTGAGCTTTAACATTTGAGATACTGTCTGTCTTGTAGCATCCCCCCATGCTGCAGCAGTCTCACCTGGAGGTACACACATCCTGACCCTGACACTGTTGTGCTGTATTCCCCGGGAATCTCTGGCAACGCGACCTCCTGTAGTAGCAGGCGATTGGCTTCCTCTACTCGGAATTGTTCAGAGAAGGTCTTGGAGGATTTGATGGTGACCACAGCTCCTTTCTCATTTTTTGTGAAAGTCACTGCTCCATATTTGGAGAGGGCTTGGAGAGCCACCACTGTATCCTAAGCAAAAGATGGGTACAGAAATCTCAACAGAGAAGAAAACAAAATCACGGTGGCTATAAACCATTCCAACTCTCCTCTCTTTCAGAATTATTTATCCATCGATTTTAGCTATTAACTCAATTCCAAATCAGTTCATATCTGATTATTTAAGATGAACATTTCTATTGCTTTGGAATAAAATATGTAAAACTTCCTACATTTGACCTCTCTATAACACACATGTAGAGAAAAGGCTCAAATATTTGATGCAAGCAGAGGTTATTTAATAATCTAGACATTTATTAAATAGTATTTGTTGTAAACATTCAGAGAAGGTAGAAGAAAATATGAGCTAGAATAGCAAGAGAAGTCTGCACAAGGTGAGAAATGAGACCATTCCTGAATAATGAGAAGGCTTTCCATAGTTGGAAAATAGCATCAGGCAGCCTCCGAGCGAGGACAGTTCTAAGACATAACAAAGTCAGGAAGCTGATTCCAGAAAAAAAAAATGGAGAAGGTCTGGAGAAGTAGATTCATGCAGTCATGTATTCTGAGAGAAAAAAAAATATTTTGTAAATATATTACAGAACTTCTGCCTTGGAAAAAAATTATATTTTCTTAGGGAAGTGATTCTGACAAAAGATTGGTTTGGGAAGACTGGATTACTTATATTGATGGGAGTTCACTGAGGAGAGAGACACAAGAGACTGTAAGAAGACAGAACAGTCACCTTCTATAAAAGAATAAGGCTGAGTCTTGCCTGGTGGTGGAAAATAGGAGGCATGTATTTTATAACCTCCAGTTCTTTAGTTATTCACTGCCTGGAGTATGGCTGTGTCTACACACGAGGGCACTTCAAAAAGTTTTGGAAAATAGAACTAAAAGATACATTCATTTTGGTGCAAAACATTCTGCATTCCACACTGAGATCTTCAAAAAGTTCATGGAAAATGCCCATTTAGAAGAAGAAAAAACTATAGGTGAATTTCAAAAACTTTTCTTTTTTGCACCAAAGCAAACTAATTTTTAAAATTCTACTGCTTTGACAGTGTTATCCATATTGTAATTTTTCTCTTGGAGTCTCTCCACAAACCTGTGTTGAGGAGAAGCCCCCACGGGGATTTTGTTGCTTGATGATCCATTTCACGATGCGTGACGCCACAGACAGGTCTTCTGAAGATGGCGCAGGCAATGCAGTAAGATAGGCCAGGAGCACATAACTTGTCATCTCCACTTCGGCAGAAGGAGCTCGTGGTTGATAATACAGTGTGAGGTCTTGATGTGGAATCCCAGGACGTTGCCAGTGGATCGAATCCTCTTTGAACGGAAAAGGGTAGAATCTTTCATGTAAAGAATTCTGACACTAGAAGAATGTCATCAATGAATAATGATAATATCTAGTGAGGAAAAGCATTAGTCATTCTCAAGCAAATCTTTGTCAAGAGAGTAAAGTAATACTTGGGCTAATCAGACTGAGTCTTTGGGTCCACTAATGTGTGACATTAGAAGTTGAAGGATAAACTAGTGTGTGAGGGTCTATGTGATCTGGAGGATCTCAGCGTTAGATCTTGCCGATTATTTGATTGCCATTGTAATTAAGATAGTGTTCTCCCTAATTTGGCCAGTGGTGATTGGTAGAGGTGAATTTTTGAAGTGGCAGTTCTTACCATCTTTCATGGCCTCTTTATCTAGTGATCTGAGCAGCTCATTTCTTTTGGCCTGGTCTCCTGCTAGGGCAAAGGCATAGGCCAATAATGCCTTGGTATAGACATTTCCTTGGGCCTCTGAAATGGAGTTCCATGCCGCTTCCAAGCAGAAGAGAGCATTGCGGACAATTGTGTGCTATAACAAACAGACAAACAAACAAAGAAAAATCACTAGCAAAACAGCAGTGTGAGGGTGCAAACTGTCTCCAGGCACGTGAGATTAACAACTCCCCAATGCCCATGAAACAACGTAATTCTAACTGGAGCATTGATTCTCCTCCAGCTTCTGAAAGATCCTTTATATTCCAGTGAAACAAACCAAAATTAACCAACCTAAAAACTAGGATCATTTCATGTAGGGATCTGAAGTCCTATGACCTTTATTGCTTTATTTGACATGGAGGCATGCGGGATATGCTGGTACTCACAGCGGCAGGCAGGGGCATCTCCAGCAGGGCAATGGTGATGTAGGCTGAGAGTGTCACCTCGTCATCTACCCCACCCTGTGGTGTCAGAGACAGAGGTGTTCAAACACACCTGTATTCGTTAGCACTGACTACTCTGTTTTTTTTTTCTTTTGACATTTTCATTAAATAGTGTCTTCTCTTTACATTGTGATGTTTATTTTTCCCTTTCTCCTTTGTCCTTAAGGTCTTGAGTCTGTCCCAAACTACCTCCTCTTTCTTTAATAAAAATACACATGGTCTTGAAGCTTCTTTGTGAAAAAAAAAAAAACTTTCGTTTGAAAATAGAGACAGAGAGACAAGATAGACAGATTTTCTATATGCGGTTCAGTCTACCAAGTGCCTACCACAACTGATGCTAAGCCAGGCTGAAACCAGGAACCTAGAACTCAATCTAGGTCTGTCATGTTGGGTGGCAGGTACCCATGTGCTTCCAACTAAAAAGAAAAAGCTGTTTATTTATTGCTAGATTTCATGAGCTTTAGGATCTATCCATCTTCCTCCAAGACAAGGAGCCAGGAGTAAGGAATTCATAGAAACAGCATATCTGTCCCACATATCATCATGTTAACGAACTACCACAAAATTAGGAAGATGTCACCTTCATAGCATTGTTTAGCAGAGTGCCGGAGAGCTGGAAACAGCCATTTTCCCTTTGCTTCTGTGAGAGCCAGGTGAAGGCATTCATGATGTGTACGTTCTCCACAAAGATGTGTGACTGGGCTTGAGCAAAGGACTTGAGCACAAACGCAGTGAGCCTGTTCAGCAGACAAGAGACAGACATGGGGAGCGCCACTCTTGGAGAATGGATGTACCTCCTGTAGACTCCAAACTGCACAATTCAATGCGGGAGAACACTTGATTCTCTAAACTGCACTTCCTGAACAACTTCTGTTACTTATGATCTCTTTCCTCCTTTTCCTCTCCTCTTTGAATGGGAAAGTATGGAAGTGTCTTCTACTGTTACACTGAGACCTTTGCTCTCTATTTTCTTTTTGGAGGAAATCTATTTCACTGCTATCTGTTGTGCCATCAGAGCATATAAGCCATGAGTGATGAAATGATGAGACACCCAATTGGGATCATTACCCAGGCAGGTGTTGAAAGACTACCAGTTTTCCATGACAAGCTCTAAGATTTTTGACAGAGTCTTGAAGTGCTACAGATCTGCCAGCACTCAGAAATCATTCTTACCAGGTGTTTCCCTGGCTTCTACCATGTTTGTCCCCAAAGGTGCTATAGGAACCATCACTGTGCTTGTAGTTCAACTGCCTTTGGTACCCTGCAAAGAAAGTTTTTGTCAATTTATGAAATAGCAGCAGCCTTGGAAAATTATCATGCTTTTATCTTAACACTCTTGAAGAATCATTGGGAAATTATGTCTTCCAGGTTTGATGACACCATTGTTATTTTCTAATGATAGGTTGGCTATCAAGTAAAAAAGGATTGTTCAGCTTTTAATCAAAGAGATGCTGATTTGAGTTCACTGAAAGATATTTCAGACATCAATGAAGGATTCTTTTGAAGTAATTTCTCACCACTGATGAGGTTGCTGATGGCTTTGGCCTTAATTTTCTGTGTCAGCTGCTGTGTCTCATTCAGATAATTCAGAACATAGATGTTAGGGACAAAGAGGACCATATTCTGCTCTCCACAACCGTAGGGAATCTGGAGAAGATTCTCAAGGTTTTGCATTGCAGAGCCTAGTATATCACCTGGGAAATGACAACAACAACAAAATCACAGGATATTGCTGTCAGGAAATTAACTGCTAGTTAACTGAGAGATCAAGTTATTTAAGTGGTGGATGGGGAACAAGCAAATATAAAAGGTATAGAGATAAGAAATAGGAACACATACAGTGAGAAAAAATAAAGTCACTGTTTCAATTATGGAGTAAGTTGGGAACGAATTGAATAGCGGTGGTATACCTTTTCTGAAATTGGCCTAAAATTGGCCTACTAATAACTTGAAAATCCACTAAGAAGCAATACCACTGAGTAAATCTGTGAAGGTGAAGACACAGCCAGGTGACCCTCTTTGCTTCTATATCAAGACATCAAATGTAGCACAACAAGTATAGAACCTCCTTTCCAGCTGGTAGCAAAATGCATCTTCCTTGCCACGGGTGGCAAGGCATCGTGACTGCAGTGACAGAGCTGGACAGCTGTTTCCTTTCGTCTAAGACACTTACCCAGAACCGACAAGGTAGCTCTGGCAGAGCCTTCAACCACATTTGACGGCACTTTCAGAGGTATGTTTTGCGTTACTCCAGTGTCTAATGAAGGAATGCACATGAGAAAACACATATAAGAGAGGGAAGAATTGAAATCTTGCTTCTTTTATAATTAAAAAATTAATAGGCCCATAAAATGTACATAATCATTAAGGACTATTTCATGTTCTATTTTATATACAATATATTGTTTAGCATGCAGTCAAGGTAAATATATTTATCCTTTCAAGCATTCAACATTTATTTGTAATGAAAACGTACAAAGTTATCTTTTTTAAATAGTCTATTATGTAGGAAAATACGCAGTACATTAACATTTTCTTTAGACATTCTATGATGCAATACTATTCCAGAATGTTTTTACACCTATACAACTAACACCTCATATCTGTTCATCTTTCTTCATCCCTCCTCAGCCTCTAGTAACCACCATTACATTTTTACCTTTCATGGGATAACCTATTTTTAGAACTTACTTGTGAGTGAGACCATGTAATATCTGTCTTTCTAGTTCTGGCTTATTTTATATAACAAAGTTATATCCAATTTGTTGCAAAAGACAGAGTTCATCTTTTTATGGATGAATAATCTTTTCTTATATATTCATCACTAGACAGACATTTTGGGTTGTTTAATTTCTTAGCTACTGTGAATAGTGCCACAGTAAGCATGCAAGAAGAGATTTCTTTGACATACAGGTTTAATTTCCCCTGAATATATAAACAGGAATGAAATTCTTGGACCATGTGGTAGTGCAGTTAGTGCAGTCTTTACTTTTGTGGGAGACTACTATCTCCCCAAATACCTGGTTGAAGTCGCTGAGTGCATCAGTGGGCAAGGGAGCGATTCACAAGCCAGGAACACCTGGGCTTGTGTCTAACCTTGGAACACCAAGTAGCAGACCGAAATCCACAGTGCTCTCTCTCCTTTGTGCATCCCTCTGGTTAAAAAATAACAGAAGAGAGCGTTCCTGGTCTCAATACTATCTCTTCTCATGCCCTTCTTGAGTTGTAAGTAACAGACCAAAGCATACCAAGATGCTGCGTTAATGTCTTCTCTCTTACTTTTTTTTTTTTAGTTTTGCTAACATAAGAATAATTATTCTAAGAATTGCTAGCTTCACATAAGATAAGAATTAATAAAAGCCTTTGTGTGACATCTGTGTTCTTTTGGGGCGTAAAAATCTCTGTATTCTCAAATACAGGGCGTCACCCTGAAAGTGTGGATGATGGCCGTAGTGTAGAATAATAAAATCATTTCTCCGTTAAGATTCTTCTTGTCTGTTCGATTAATCCTGACACCTGGTCCAATTTCTATTCCCATCAAAAGGATGCAAAGGCTCCCTTTTCTCCACATCCCTACCAACACCAGCTACCTTTCACTTTTTGATAATGACTAATCCTGCTGGAGTGAGATGATATCTTTTTGTGGTATTGATTTCTCTTATTATTAATGATGTTGAACATTTCCTCACATGCCTGTTTATCATGTATGTGTCTACTAGATTCTATTGCTTAATTTTAAATTATGGGGTTTTATTTTTTTGCTGTTGTGTTCCTTGTGTATCTTAAGTATAAATGCTTTCCAGACATACAGCTTGCAAACATTTTCTTCCATTCTGTAGGTTGTCTTTTCACTCTGTTCACACTGCTGATGGCTTCGTTAACTATGCAAAAACTCTTTAATTTGGTGAAATCTTATTTGTTGCTTTGAACATATTTCTTCTATATGATCTAGACTAAACATTCATTTTTCTTGAGAATGGTATAATTTCTTTGCTATGATTAATCTCTCAAAGAGATTCATATTAATCATATGAATCTGTGCCAAATTTCTGTAGATTTTCTTGTAAGCATATACAAGGCAGTAAGCTCATTTTCTTCTCTTCATTCTTTAATTCCCACCATTGTCAATTTTCCCAAATTTACATTAATTCCATAAAGATGTATTGTGCATGTTGTTAAGTTCTGTAATATATATATATATCTATATATATATGTTTACTTGAGAGGTAGAGACAGAGGCAAAGATAGAAAAAGAAAGATCCTGTCTGTTACCTAACTTCCTAAATGCTCACAACAGCCTGAGATGACCTTTGCCAGATCCAGAAGACAGGAACTAGGCTAGGGTCTTCCTTACAGAGGTAGCAAGAATTCAACAATGTGTGCCATCACCTGCACCTGCCAGCATCTGCATTGGCAGGAAATTGGAATCAGAAGTGAGATTCAGGTATCTCACCAGGTACTCTGTCTTAACTAACTTATTGACCTCTAAGCCCACCCCACCACATGTAGCTTTAAATTGTAGTGATGTAGTCATTTTAAAACAACTTTTCTGGCCTCATAGAGCTTTATCTTCTATGGGAGAGTTAAGATAAATAAAGTTGTGTATAGCAGATGTTTGTAATGACTATGGGAAACGTTAAATCAGGTGAATATTTGTTTCAATGAGGGGGTGGTAAAGCAAACCCAACCAGGAAGTGCAGGATGTAGAGAATTGAAACTAATTGATTAAAACTCATATGTGAATAAAGACTATTAGCAAGCGCATCACATTTATAGATACTGGGGAATAACATTTCCAGAGAAAAGAAACAAAAATATAAAAGATTTCAGAGATTAGAATATGCAGATACATTCCAGGACTCGAAAGGAGCTATTTCCCAGATATTAGGGAAATGCAAATAAAAGCCACATTGAGGTTCCACCTATCTCCAGTGAAAATGGCCTTCAACAGACATCAATTAGCAACTTCTGGCAAAGATGTGGGGGACTACGGTGCTCTACTCCACTGTTGGTAGAAGTGTAGCTCAGTGCAGCCGGTATGGAATATGGGAGTCAGAATGGAATATGCTCAGATAATTGAAAATTGATCTACTGTTTATCACAGCTATCCCTCTCCTGGAAATATATCCAAATAAAGTACAACCTGCATATGAAAAAGTTGCCTGCATTCCTACATTTATAGCAGAACAATTTACAGCAGAAAAAGCATGGAAACAACCCAGATACCTGACAGAAGAGGAATGGGTAAAGAAACTGTGGTACATAGTAGTCCATGGAGTACTATCTAGTCATTAAAAAGAATGAAATTATTTACAACAAAATGGATTCAACTGGAGATCATTATATTCAGTGAAAAAAGCCAGTCCTCAAAGGACAAATATGGTTTGTTATTATCTCTGATATAAGGCAGCCTTCATGCAAATATATATCCTCATAGATGAACTGTATAATGGAAACTATAACACATATTGCAGTATACGTCAGTACTCCTGAAGAAAAGGCGAACTCCCAATGAGTTAAGTATACTTTGACAATTTGATACTGATTTCCTACCACTGCGTATCCTACAATGTCATGACATACTTAAATAGCAGAATGTTAGATTTGTAACTGTCCTCAAGGACTATATTACTTTAACAATATAGAGGAAAAGGGTAGGAGAGCTAAATGGGAAGGGAGTAATGGGGAAGAAAAGATAGGAGTTCTTATACCTACAATGCTGCATTATGGAAAACAAAAACAACAATAAAATAACAAGAAATAGAATGCTAGTTGACACAGAATTCTAAATTTTAATTATAATTTTACATATGATATTAATAGTATTAGTGAAATATTGGTATTCTACATGTTCATGACATGTTAATATCCCTCATAAAGTAGTTTAAGTTTGAACTCCTGGTTTTAGAAAGAGTATTATTAACACATAGACATCTCAATATTTTGAACAGGTTTAGAGCTAAGTTTGAGAAGCTGGAGTAATAGAAGAGAGCACTGTGTTGGAATCAATGGCTTTAGTCTTCATTGCTAGCCAAGAACTTTACTACAAAGCATTTGCGTGCTCTGTGTCTTTGCTTCTTTATCTGTAATATGTGGCAGTACTGACACACTCAATAGTTCCTCTCTTTATTCCCATGAAAAAAGAGAACCGAATTCCAAGTGTTGTTCATCAGAAAACTAGTCTTCAAATGTGTACATTGGAAAGTGTAAGGGTTTCTTTTTGTTTTGTTTTTCCTAAGGAACAATATGTTCCAAAGATAATCTAGTCCATAGCTCTATACTCTACCAAGTAGCTTTACATCAGAATTTATCTCTGTCTTACACTTACCTGATGCACAGAGCAGTGTGTTGAAAGTTTCTTCCTTTTCTATGCCTTCAGGCTTTATAATGAAAGGAAAAAAGACAAAAAGGTCAAATGACACTGAATGGATCAAGGGAAAAATCAATTGTTTTAAAGGGAAAAATGCTGGTGAAAAAGTTGATTGGCAGACCCATCTCAATTCTTGAAAATGAAGCTTCAGAGTCACATAATATTAGATAATGCTATATGATGTAATTTTTAAAAACCTCATGACTCAGAAAGATCACCAACATACCTCAACTATTAAGGTCTTGACTACAGTGTCCTTCTGTTGAAGTGTGGGAACTTCAGCCACCTCATTGTTGCACAGTTCCTGAGATTGCAAGGCCTCTGCAGTAGCAGTGAAATTCACCTTTCCTGGGGAATAAGGTTCTTAAGAGTTAAACGGCAATCCTGCATTGAAGGATTCCCTCTCTTCCAGTCCCCCAACATGTCTAATAGTCTCTTTCTCTTGAGCAAGCTTGGAGACCATCCAGATTAAATCACCCAACCTAAGAAGTAGAATTAGTGAGCAGATTGCCACTTACCCAGAGATGATGGAGTCACAGACCAGGATACAGTTTTCTGCCTATTTCCACAGACACAGTGAGATTCCTTGTTCTTCTCTGTTGGGACAGCCAGGAAAGCCGATGAGACCTCCAGCTGCACCTTGACCTGTCCCCACACCAAGGAGAGGTTTGTGAGAGGACACAGGCAGAGGGACGGGTCAGTAGTAGGAGAGAGAGGCTGAGACTGACAAACATACCTGGTCAGAAACTAAGGAGAATGTTCAAGCAAGGTAGATCCTATGAAACGTTAGGTCACATAGACCTTTTTTTTTCTTTTTTTCTACCATAAGCCTAACCCTAGCACATAGACATTTGTATTAAGGGTGCAGAAACACTGACAGAGATTAGGATAGATACTCAGCATTTCACCTTGGGCCAACACAAGGGAGGAGTATTTTTTTAAGTCACAATTGAAACATAAGGTTAACAGAGGGTATCTGAATTTAGAAACAGATATAGAGGCCCCAAGAAAAAATGATCTTATTACCCTGTGCCTATCAGGTATCTGTTTTACACTAAAATTGGGATAATTCATACCAGTTCTGATTCCTCAAAAAATGGTTTAGGAGACCTAGGTATTCAGGGGTGACTTTCTTCAACTTTCACTCATCTCCAGGGAAATGCACTTACCCGAATGCAGTGAGACAAGTAATTGAACACGGTAGCTTTGAGTATGAAGGCTTCTCCTCGCACCACAGAGTAAGGGAGGGTGAGCTCTAGGAAGAAGGGCTGGAAGACGTCAAGAGAGATGACAGGGGACAGGCCAAGCCCTGTGGTTCCAGACAAGCAGAAGGCATTGGCCTTCCACTCTGTAATGGTGTCAGGGACCTTCAATGATAACTCATTTCCACCCGAAGAACTGAGGAAAGGGAAAAGAGTAGAGTGAACAAAGTTCATTTTTAGCCCAAAGCATAGCTGATTATAGAACATTGTAACAAACCTGATGAGGAAAATGCTAAACTTGATCTAAGTTTTAATGAGTCTAGTGATGTCTCTGGGTGTTTTTCTCCTTCCCTCCTTTCTTCCCTCTCTTCCTTCTTTCTTTTATTTTTCCCTCCTTTTCTCCCCTCCCTCCCTCAACTCTCTCCTTTTAAGTGTTTCTATTATTTTTTCATTTTCTCAGAACCATCTTTGGTGAAGAAACACTTTGTCTAGATAGGAGAGAAATGAACTATGAGCCTAAATATTAACCAGAAATGAGTACAGCAAAACTGAAAGGGGGCAGGAATGAAGATAATATCAGGGTCATAAAACAGGATTCACATCTTAAACTCCAGGCAATGCACAACTCACTCAAGCATCACTAAATCCCAGATCCAGGTCTCAGGGAAGTACTTCCGGAGTGTCTCCTTCACTTGCATGGTCTGAGAGAGTAAAGGCATCATCATTGGGGGAGCCATTGCTCCCACTGCACCTATACCAGCACCTGGCATTGGCATCGCCAGCCCTCCACGGAAAGGCATGCTTTCTCCTGCTCCTGTGGGAAGACAACACAGAGGCCTCAAGTTTATATCAATTTTTGTCGTTTTTTTATTTGCTTTATTTTTCAAGTAGGATAATATATCCAAAGAATGTTGGCTCTTGGAAAAATTTCAATGCCCAGATTGTTTCTTTGTTCATAATCTATTCATTCTGTTACCAATCCTATTGATTCTCTGCATTGAGCCGAATGCTTTTCACTACACAGCTAAAAGGAAAGGTACAGCTCTCTCTAAGAAGATTGTCCATCTGGTCAGCGTGTTGAGCTAGCTCCCATCAGGAAGGAACAACATGGAAGAATAGATTCTCAAGCATGATTTTCTTAGGTTTAACCATGAATGCAATATGGAGATATAAACATTGAACATTAGGTGTTCTTGACAGCAGGGACTCACAAAAGCAAAAAGAACACACTTTGGCCAGAAAATGTTTGCCCAAGTACAATGTTAGGTGCCCATTGACAGGTGTCAGAGGGTCATGGGAAGAGTCCTCCAAGAAAAGGCTGACAAAAGGATTCATGGGTAGGGAGGGATGCTTTTGTTAGAATTCTTGTGCTGAGGTTATGTTTCACATAGATGAATAAACACTGAGTGTATGTAATAGAACAAATGAATTAGATTTGTTAAATTCGATTGCTAATAAATTAGATTTATTAACTTGTTAGGTTAATAAATATGGAAATTTTATTCTAGAGATCAGCAGGCACACAATATTTATGTATCTTTAAAACTGTTTTTATAATAAAACGATTATATCTTTATATATTTTTGTGGTATTACTTTTTTATTATAATTATATAGAGCTCTGGAATTGTAAATGCATATAATCTATATAAGATAATAGCTTCAAGTATCCCTTTTAAATCCTTAATTACAATGATTTTATGAATTCTGGAAGTAGCAACTATGCACAATAAGTGTAGTGAGAAAGGAAATGCTTCCAGGTAATTAACCTTTCACAGAGCATAAGTTAGACTGAGGTGGAAAAACTCAACCAGAAAGGCAAACAGGATGTATGTTTCAATGAAATCATGAGAAACAAGAATAAGAGAATGTACCTGAAAAGGAGAGATAGATAACAAATAATAAGTAATAAATAATAAATAATATTTGTGATAAGGCCATGAGGAAGTCTTGAGGAGTTGTTGGGCCATTTCATGAATATGTTTTCTCTTAGGAATGGAAAGGAAATACATACTTAGTATTGAGGCATGAGGAAACAATTTATAGTGCTTTGCAGCGTTTTTAACAAAACAGCATGCTGTTGGAAAGAATCACAATTAGGTGTTTTCGGTTCAAAACACCTCAGTGAGCTTGAGATTGTCATTCTGAGTTTAGATTTGAAGAAAATGAGCTATCTAAGGTTTAGATGAGTCTGAATTTTGTTTATGGTCATAGGAGGCAGGGTATGATTGAGGAATTGTTCCTTAATTCCTAAAACATTTGTTCTTGTCCCATTATGTAGGATTTTCTTTCTGTTCAGAGAATATTCTTATTTAATTTCTTTTTTGTCAACTTTAACTTCATCTTTTGTCTTACTAGGTAAATAATCTATTGGATTAAAATGTATGTTTCTTTTTTTAATGGAATAAATTTGTCATACCTCCCTAACTTGTTATTACAAAGATGAGCAGACTACATTAAAATATGCAGAGCGTAATTTCTACAATCTGATGGAAGTAGAAGAGAATAGCCTGTTTTTTAAATGTCTCATTATTTCCATTTATACTTAGAAAACAGACTAGTAATATGTGTGCCCAAAAAATGAGACTTTAATATATGTTCACTGTATAAAAAGTCTTTCAATTTCATAAAAAATATATGTAAGAGATAGTTCATATCTATAAGATCCTAAACACTTGTGTTAGGGAAACACGTGCAGGCAGAATTGGAATATGCTGTTTCTATCCCAGCAATGAATTCAGGGCCAAATTTGCTCTTTCTTCTCCAAGATCATGACCCTGACAAACATGCTGGGGATGATGGAGTCTCCAGATGAAGGCAGACTGGCCATGCCTGACTTGGTTTTTGGCATGAGCTGTCCGAGAGAGATGCTGGACTCATAATCTGATTTTTGTGTAAACAAAAATTGAACTGTTATATGTTCAGCCACTGCAGCATGAAGTGCTTCCAAATATTTACAGAAAATGGAATTAAAGGAGAAATTTATTTTGGTTAAAAAACTCTGACACTAAAGATTTTCAAAAAATTGTGAAAACACATCTTAGAAAAAAAATGGGTGTGGATTGTGTGCATTCAATGTTACGCTGAGTAATTCAGGCATTCAATCTCCAGGAAATCAATAGACTCTAAAATAGCAAGATGACTGAGGGCTAGAACAAAATATTTAAAAAATTGTTGATCCTGGTGTCGAGGAGGGAAGAGTACCTGACTATCAATTAAAATGGGGGAGGCGGGTTTTTGGCAACTTTGAAAAAGCTGCTGCAGATTCTGCTGTCTTAACAGCCAATACTTAAAGAAATGCTAGTTATCCCAACCGAACACAGGAAAACGATACTTTTTCTACCCTCTAGCACCATCTTACCAAATCTACCTGCTGCTGGTACTCCTCCCATTGGTACAGGCATTGCACAAAACCTGGGTTTACGGATTTTTGAGTTGGTAAACATGCTTAGTCCTATAGACTGGAGAAAAAAAATGTATTACTTGATAAGGCATATAGTGGCAATCTGATCCTGAACAATTCAAAATCATTTCTCGATTTTATATCTGTTTCACTTTCACTATTACTTATGATCTATTAAATATCACTTGTGATCTATTTCACTATTACATTTGATCATTATGGAACTTTCATACAGTGAAATAGTGAATAGTGTTGAAAGCTATTTTGTAAATATGAAAATGAAGTCACAGAAGGTCCAGCTTGATCAACTAGTGAATGAAATTGGGATTCAAATACATTTCTCCCAATTTTGGCTCTTAATCTCTTTTTTTTTTTTTTTGTACCTGGGAAGCTATTTTATTCTTGGATGTTTTCTTTTTCTCTATAAGGAGGGAGGGGAGGAGACTACATCTCTGAGGACAGACACACACACACACACACATAGAGAGAGAGAGAGAGAGAGAGAGAGAGAGAGAAAGCATGTGCTAGAAATCGAAGGATTGCATACATACTGGAGATTTCTCAGAAAATTTTATTTTGTTTACATTTTATAGGACAACATGACTTTCCCTGAACACTCAGTTTTCCCCTTACTTGATTTGTCCTTTTCCTTTGTTCACTTTCCGTTTCTCTGAAAGTCTGAATCCAAAATATACATTCAGACATTCCTGATGTTTATCAGTTCTTAGCCTCCTACTTCTTCAGGGTTAGTCATAGAAGAACTCCACCTGCTGATTTATCTCAGAGACTACAGGAAACCATGCACTCCGAGGCACAGCTGCCTGTGATAGGTCATGATATAGGATGGACTGAAATGAATTCTTAAAGATGAATAAACCAGGGACCAATGTTTCATGCAATATGGTGCAGCAGATTGAATCTTCACTTGCAACTCCAACATTGCATACTGCAGTACCACCATTTCTATTTGAGTTTGAGTTCTGGAGTCTCTACTTACCATCCATCTTCCTTCTAATGGACCAGGGAAACAGCAGGAGATGGTCCAAGTACTTGGGCCCCTGCATGAAGTGTAACCCAACAGATAAAAGACCTCTCTCTGTCTTTTTGTATCATTCTACCTTCAAAATAAATAATAAATCAATTTTTTAAAAGCAAAATATAGGCTTTTTTTAAAAAAAAAAGACATTATTTTGATAGGTAGTATGACACACAGAATGAAGGAAAGACAGAGGAAGAGATCTTCCATTCTCTGGTTCATCCCCCAAATGGCTGCAACACCAGGCTGAAACCAGGAGCCCTGATCTTATCATAAGGGTCTAGTGGTCCAAGTACTTGGGACATCTACTGCTTTACCAGGTTCATTACAAATAGCTGGATGGGAAGTGGAATAGCCAAGATTTGAACTGGCATTCATATGGAATACAAACACTGCAGATGGTGGTTTAATCTGATACATCAAAGGAGAGCCCCAGCGTGTATACTTAAAAGAAAATATGGAGGGTGGAAAGAAACAATTTGATGCTACTTGGGCCACCCATGTATATACCAAGGTCCCTGGGTTTGAGGGCTGTCTCCACTTCCAATTCATGCTGCCTATTAATGTAGACATTACAAACAGCAGGTGGTGGCTCAAGAGCAGCTCGAGCCCCTGAAACCCAATGGGAGTCTTCAGTTGAATTCTAAGCTCCTGGTTTTGGTTTGGCTTCATCTTGCCTACTGAAACCACTGGAGGCTGAACCAATGGATGGCAATTCTCTCTTGCTCATTTTCTCTGTGCCTCTCTGTTTCTCTGTCTCAATCTCTCTGCTTCTCTCATACCATTATTTTGCTTTTCAAAGAATCTAGTTAATACAGAATTTTCTATCAAGGTCTCCACCAGTTGGTGGATGATTCTGGAGACTCCGGAAGAGAGAAATTTAACTTCCCATCAGCCAAGGTGCTGACTCCTATCAACAAAAATTGAAGGTGTTTTCCTCAGTTACAAGATTTTAATCCTTTTTGGTAGTGACAGGATTTAATTTTGTAGTCCGAATAACCTCTCCTTTCATAATTTCATTGGCTATAATTCATCTTAAACATGAACATTTAAAAATATATTAACGTTTCTAATACAAGCTTGTTAATCTTTTCTAAGTGAAAGTCTACTTCCAGTTGCCCTTAAAATGAAGATTAAAGTATTGTGCTTAACACATTCAATTGTTTAACAACTCAAGCAGTACTGTGCAAATGACTGACATGGTGGCTTCCAACAAGGCAATCGCATTTCTAAGGATGTGAAGCACACTATGGAATAATATTTTGACTTGTTTTCATCACCTGTTAGAACTTCTAGAATCACTAAGAGGAAAACATGAGGGTGGTGGTTAGGAGCTTTGGGATCTATTTGATTAAGATTTAGGGCCTGAAAGCAAGCAATTTGCTGTTGAAGCTGCTGGAGAATTTGTGCTTGAATATCTTTATGTCTACAAACTTCTCTAACCCTAGGTGGTTCCAGTATTTTCTGTTACTCATTGCTTTGCTGAGGTGAAGGGGGATCAAATCTTAAAACACTGGAAGCCTTCATCATAGAATGAATCAGACACAACTGTTGGATTTTGTGGGGAAGAATTACCTTGAAGATATGGTCTACAAAGTCAATGTTGAAGATTTGCCTTGGTGTATAAATGAGTCCATTGTGGACAATGTCCCCTGCGTTGATACATTCTTCATCCCCATACTCTGGCTCTCCAAATCCTCCAACAGGAGCAGGTTTTGCTGGTAGCAATTTATAGATCTGTAAAATCAAGAGAGCAAAGAGAATAAATCTCAAATGTGACAATGTTTAATATGAGGTCAAAAGACTATAGTATATGTTCAGCATTCCCAAGGTTACATTGCCATAAAGCAACAAAAGAATCATGGAGAGAGTTTAAAGACTTAACCCCAACACTCTTGTTATGTGAAAGAAAAGGAAGAAATGAATCGATCAATGTTCTCGTAGTCAATTTTGATAAAGTAAAAATAAAGCACAGGTGTTTAGCTTTCAAATCAAGCATCCATTGTATCTAAGTGACTGGTCATATTTGCGTTTGATTATTATTTATGGTAGTTGCCCAACATCCTTGCTGAACCTTGGTCTTTTAACTTTTCATTTTTTTTTAAGATTTATTTTATTTTTATTGGAAAGGCGGATATACAGAGAGGAGAGACAGAGAGGAAGATCTTCTGTCCAATGATTCACTCCCCAAGTGAGCGCAACGGCCGATGCTATGCAGATCCAAAGCCAGGAGCCTCTTCCGGGCCTCCCATGCGGGTGCAGAGTCCCAAAGCTTTGGACGGTCCTCGGCTGCCCTCCTGGGCCACAGGCAGGGAGCTGGATGGGAAGCGGGGCCGCTGGGATCAGAACCGGTGCCCACATGGGATGGGCGTGCAAGGCGAGGACCTTAACCACTACACCATCGCACCGGGCCCATACTTTTCATTTGTTGAACACTTTATTTAGTGGAGCATTGAGTCTGAGTATAATGCAGAATTAAAAATAAGTGATCTTCAAAATTAAAAATAAGGGAAGAAAGAAGAAAGGAAGGAATGAAGGACAAAAGAAAGAAAAAGAAAAGGAAGTGAGAGAGGGAAGAAAGAAAGGAAGAGAATGAAAGAAGAAAGAGGAAGAGAGAAGGAGAAAGAAGGGGAAGACAGTGAGATAGGGAGGGGGAAAGAAGAAAGGAAGGGAGGGAGGAAAGGAAAGAAAGGAAGACAGTGAGAAGGAAAGAGAAGGAAAGAGAAAAGGAAGAGTGGGAGAGATAGGTAGGTATCATTATAGAATTAGAATTGTATCTATGAATTATATTGGATGTGTTCTTTGTATTAATGTCACACTGACCTGAGAATTTATGAGAATTTTGTTGTAGCAACTTATGACTTGTGTGTCATTCATTTGCTGTGAACTTGAGGATTGAATGCCTGAATACAGTCATTTTAATAAAGGAGGAAGAAGAGGGAAATAAAAAAAGTAGAAAAAACAAAAAATGTTCTGAATAGTAGCAACCAAAAGAAGAAACAAGTCTAGATTTATATTCTATTTTTTTTAATTGTAAAGTCAGATATACAGAGAGGAGAGACAGAGAGGAAGATCTTCTGTCTAGTGAATCACCCCAGGTAGCTGCAATGGCTGGAGCTGCTCCATTTGTAGCCAGGAGCCTGGAGCCTCCTTTGGGTTTCCCGCACAGATGCAAGGTCCCAAGGCTTTGGGCCGTGCTCAACTGCTTTCCCAGTCCACAAGTAAGGAGCTGGATGGGAAGTAGAGCTGCCAGGATATGAACTGGTGCCTATATGGGATCCCAGTACATGCAGGCAAGGACTTTTGCTGCTAGGCCCGGAATTTTTATTGAATTCTGGCAGAAAATACATACCCACAACCAATAATTATTACCCACTAATTAACTCACCAAGCAACTGCTAAACACCTCATGTACCAAATCCTGTTCTAGGTATGGGGATCCAAGATTGCTCCCTCGCCAAGGATATCACAGAGCCTCAAACGAGATGGTCTACATAAAACACCGTGCGCAGTGCGTTTCTTGTGAAGTTACATGTCACCTGTCACTCTGAAGTACTTGTCTATTGCAGTTTCCAAGATGATCTTATGGGAGCATTTTGTGAGTTCTGAGTTGGAGGTGGGACTCACCGATTGAGGTGAGAGCTCAGCCTCAGGCTTCATCAATAGCACGCTCTGATCCACTGCACGGAGGGCACAAAGTGAGAGAGGAGAGGCCGTGACCTTCAGGTGTGTGTCTGAGGCTGGCAGACTCTGGGATGGAAGGAAACTCAAATTCACCTGTAAACAAGATGTGATTACAGCAGCAACTCTTCCAATGATTGTCTCAAACCTCTGCTGTTCTTCCTTTTTTTTTCTCCATTTGAATTCAGTATTAAGGAATTAGTCGTTCTAGGAACTAACCAGTAAGCCTCTCTAGAACTCCCTGGAAATGACATTCCACTTAACTCGAGCTTCTGACTCCTTATCTAACTGGTGAGATCTAACTTCTTATCTGTGCAGTGATTTTTTGATCATGTTGAAACAGAATCCTGAATGGAACTGGAAGCACACATATTACCTGCTGTAGATGAACTCTTTGTGTACCATTTTTGTGTTGAATATGCTTCACCTCTGAGATCAGCCAACTGAACTCTCCTCTAGTGGGCACTGTTAGCCTTTGGAATGTTGGAAGTGATGCAATTACAGTCTGTTAATTGGGCTACAAACATTAAATAATGAAAATGCATTTAAATCAATTGTTTTAGAATGTGCAGAGAACTGGGAATACATTTTGTTATGGTGTTATAGAGAAATTATCTTAGAGACACGCTTTGAGGAACTGGAAGTGTTTTTCAGATTTGATGCCAAGGAGAAAATTACTCTTTCACCATGCATGTTTTATTTTACCTCTCTCAGGCTTCAGAATGTGCGGAGAATAATGACTCAATGGGAAAAGGCCAGAGTGTCACTTCTAGAACAAGACAAGTGTGGAGGAAGTTGTAGTGCATCAAGGCCATTTCAAAATGTAAGTCAACTCCCCTTGCTTAACAGGTAAGACATGGAAGCATAAAGTAGGCAACACTTCCCAGTAATAGGAAACATATAGAAGATTCAAAGAAAGTAGCGCCACACTCTCAGTCACTGTGTCTGGGTTAATTGCATCTTTAGTAAGATGACATTAAAGATTTGTATAAGCACTGTTTTTATTCGTTTTATGCCTGAGAAGATAATCTAACTACAATTTTCATAGTATAAATGTTTACCTGCTATTAACATGTATACAACACATTGTGGCACAATGGATTACACTGCTAGCTCGAACCACCAGCATCCCGTATTGGAGAGTCAATTCAAATCCTGGATTCTCTCTGCTTGAGACCCATCTCTCCGATAATATGCTTGAGAAAGTACAGAAGATGGCCCATTTACTTGGATCTACACCATCCCTGTGGAGGATACAGATGGAGTATACGATCCTTGGCTGTATCATAGTGGCCATTTGGGGAGTGAACCAGAAATTGGAAACTGGAAGATTTGTTTTCTCTCTTCTCTCTTTCTCTCTTGCTTTTCAGCTAAATAATAAAAACATTTCTAAATTTTCATAAGGTTCACATCCAAGTGTCCTTCTAGATAGATTTTGACAATGACATCTAAAGTATGCAGATTTGATCTGATTAATATTAAGAGATTGTTTCCAGGATGGAAAACATTCATAAATAGCACCAAATTCTGTTGGTGAAAGTTTATTTATATCTCAGTGAGACTCATATCAGCACTCTATTCTTCAAAAATAAAGCAAACAAAAAAAGATATCATTTGCCCCATGCTGTATGCTTATGCTACATTAATTAATTATAGCTTCCAGGCTGTGCTTTACAAAACAAGTACATGCATATGTCTCTGCTGTGTGTCATCAAACTTAAATGACACCCATGGCAGCTTGCTGTTTTCTGTAGCAGTATATACATGCAAGGTATAGCAGGGCAAAACTGCTACAGCTCTGGCAAGTATCATATTTCACTGACATTGTGACAGCAAAATATTTAAAAATATAAAGGTTTATAGTGGAACTGATTTTAAAATCTACGTGATTTTTATGATAAAATAAGAAAAGTGCTTGTTGTGGAGGGCCTTTGGTACAGCGACTTAAACACCACTTGGGATGTTTCCATTGCATATTAGAATGCATGGGTTCTGCTTTCAGTTCCAGCTTCCTGGTACTGCATGCTCTGGAAGCAAGCTCAAGTGACATCTAGGTGGGAGACATGACTGAGTTCTGAGCTCCTGGCTTCAGCCTGGCTCAGAAGAGGAGACATGGAGATCTCTCTTTATTTCCCTCCTTTTTTCTCTCTCTATAATTCTCTCTCTGCTTCTTAATCTCCCTTTTAAATTATGCTTTTGTCCACTTAATTTAGACTTTGCCATTGAAACTCATGGTATGCTATCACACTCGGCCCTTTTTAGGAAAATATTTTATTTATTCATTTATTTGAAAGGATAAATTGCAGAGAGAGAGAGAATGATCTTGTATCTGCTGATTTATTTCCTACATGGTTGCTATAGCCAAGGTTGGCCTGGCTGAAGCCAGAAGTTGGGCACTCTACCTGAGGCTCCTAGGTGGGTGCAGATGCCCATGGATTTGGGCCATCTTCACTACTTTCTCAGGCCATTAGCAGGGGGGTGATCAACAGTGCAGCAGCTGAGACTTGAACCCAAGCCCGTATGGGATGCTGGTGTTACAAGGGGTGGGTTCACCACAACGCTTGTCTCAACCCTGTAACTTTAGAGGTACTTAGAAAGAACATTTTGGGAGCACTGCATGTTGCTCCCAAATATAACTTTCTTGATATCCATGCTTCAAAAAAGGGAGAAACTAAAGGACTAGGTTTAAATAAAGCAACTCACCTTGTTGGCAAAACAGTTTTCAATCTCCATGTCCTCAACATCTGCGATAATTTCTCCATCAGGTAAAATAGCATAAATAAGAACATGAGCAGTGGGAGCAATGTCCGCCTCCACGCGGAAGGAGAAGGAGAACTCTCCTTTCACTAGGGAGGAAAGACAGGTCAAGGTAACCGTTTAGAAAAGAAATTCTCAATTGTATAAAGAAGGGGTCCTCTGATAGGTAACTATCTCACATTTTCAGTCGAGTACAGTAAGAGAAACAGTTATACAACTGCACACATAGCAGTGCTAAGTAGATACAGGCTGAACGAAAGCATTTTTTTCCCCAGTGATACAGTGGCCACTATGACCATTTGCACATTTCCTTTGTCAAGGTAGGAAAAAAAATACATCTCTATTTTTAAATTTAAGAAGATAACAGTCAAGAGCAAAGAAAAGAGACAACTTTTAGACACCTATAGTTATTTTTGCGATCTAGTTGAGCACAACTTTGGCGTATGTTAAAGGTAAAACAATAAATGAAGCGCAGATACCCTTCAGGCCACAGACAGAGAGAAGATGCAAGTTAAAATAATTACACACAGAATACAGGCACCTTTGCATTTTGTAGAAAGGATGCCACGTATTTACCTTAGTCCCTTCTGCCTGATTTGTATAGTGCTTGTGTATTACACTGGTTTAGTGTTTTTTAATAAAAGTTCTAAGTTTAACCTTTGCGGTAAAGCTATATGTTTTCTGTATTTATGAGCGAATTTGAGGGCTACTTGAGCATGAAAACTTAAAAAAAAAAACAGCCAAAATAAGTTAGAAGTGCTAATGCTAAAAACATGAAGCTAGAATTCTGGACAGAATTTAATAGACGTGGCACTTAATTTTATTAGAAAACTACAAGAAATGGTTACAAAAGTATTTGAATTTATGTTGAGCTTCCTAGATGTCAAAGATAAATAGGAAAGCAGCTATTTGTATAGTCATTGTTAAATAAAATATGTTATGGTTTATTCTTAAATACCCAGATCTTTCTCTTCTCCCTCAATTCCCATCTCTATAGGCACTCAGCTCCCAAAGATTTAGGTTTTACTGCAAAAGCTAATTTTGAAGACATTATTTTATGAGGCAGTTTGCTTTCCATGTTATTGAGAAAGCAATATCAACTCTAAAAAAATGCAATTTGATATCCAATCATATAAGTTCAATGATTAAGTTGAGACTTTAAGCTGAATGTTTTATGTTGGAGTGAAGGTATTCATTTCGTGCTTTTACAAACAGTAAGAAAATACTTAAACCATTTATGCTCTACACTTAAACTTGTGCTGGGTTTTAGAGTGGTAGATGTTCCGTCTCTATTTTGGGTTTAGAGGCTTTGGGCTGGCTGAAAAAGTAAACCGCTTAGGACAACACACTTTCATTTAGCAGAGTAAGGAGCACCTTAACAAGCAGTATCTGAAGTGGGAGAGAAGAAGGGGTGTGTGTTGGGAGGAAGAGAGAGAGAAGAGAGAGAAGCTCCTGGCTTTGCAGGTACAGAAAGGACTTCTAAAGGAGAGGTGGAATGTCTTGAGAAGCTGAGGAAAGCAAAAGAACCGGAGACTTCTTTGGAGGAGCTGCCGACCCCTTGATTTTAACCTGGTGAGATTTACGACATCGAATATTCCAAGATAATAAATGTGTGTGGCTTTAAGCCAGCAAATGTTAAAAGGAATTGATTAACAAATATAGGGTTTTTTTAAAGCCTGTGGTGTAATGGAATTGAAAGACAGGTTTATTTTGGTACAAAAAAATCAAATCCATGTATGATTTATCTGGAGCTTTTTCAAGACTCTCTTATTGACAGGGTTTTTCCTTTGTTGTATATTGCTGCGTTTTCATACTTTTTCTATATTTTGAAGATATTTAATTAGGAAGTGAATATGTTCCGCTTTAGACATAGAATTTAAAATATTGATGTTATAAAAAGTTTAGAAATGCCGAATGGTTATAATGGAGCTAAGTGGGCTATCCTGCTATATGCCAACTTCCCCGTATTTAGACAACAAGAAGGTTGGTGACCATTTCTTTGCTGAAAACTAGTTCAGGTTGTTACCTGCTTCTCAGGACTTTACAAGATGAGAGAACAAAAAAATCTTGGAAATACTTACAGTCTCCCTCTGTGATGGTCAGCACATGGATTCCTGATCTTGAAATACTTCCTCTTGCTTTGATCTGGAGACAGAGGGAATCATATTCATTCATTGCTACTTGGAAACATATTGACCTTACTTGAAAGTATTCATAATATGTGCCTGAACAATAACTTTACCAATCCAAGCAGAAGATATTTCCCATCCAGTCATTTTCTATATGTGTGTGTGTGCGTATCTATCTATCTATATCTATATCTATATATCTTGAATAACAAATGTATAATTTTACTATTTTCTTTATCTTAACATGTCTGTTAAATGTGCTTCAAATTTATATTTTGTTTGAATAACTATCGTACACACTTAGTGTATGTAAAGTGATATATAATAGGGGATGGCATTTCGACACATACAGACAGGCATTTGCAACTCTAGGAGCCCAAGTCAGCATGTCAATTTAAGTCCTGACTGCTCTGCTTCAATCCAGCTGCCTGCAAATGGGCCTTGGAAAATAGGATGGTGGACTCTGAACCCCTGCCATCCATGTGGGAGACCAGGTTACAGCCCCAGGCTTTTGGCTGTCGCCAGCAGGCCATCACAGCTCTATGAGGAGTGAATTAGAGGATTGAATTAATTTCTTCCTCTCTTTCTCTGGACTTTTTTTTTTAACTGCCCATCAAACAAATTCAAAACATCCTTTAAAAAGCAATATATAGTGAACACAGATACAAAATCTTAAAAGTAATCTAACACTTATTTCACTTTTTTAGAGAAAAAAGTATGTTCTAGGCACTGAGATAAATTTTAATTCAGTTGTTTAATTTACACAGTAAATCTATGAAGTATGTAATAATATAATCTCCAATATTCGGACATCTGTTTTTTTTCTTTTGGAAAGGTTTATTTTATTTGAAAGGTAAAGTGACAGAAAGAGGGGAAAAGGAAAGATGGAAAAAGAGGTCTACTATCTGCTAGTTCACTCTTCAAATGGCTGCCATGGCAGGGCTGAGTCAGCACAACTAGCACCAGGAACTTCACCCTGATTTCTGACCTGGATGACAGTGACCCACGCACGTGGGCTTTCCTAGGTGTGTTAGCAGAAAACCGAATCAGAAGTGGAGCAGCTGCTACTTAAACCAAGGCTTTGACATTAGCTGCTGTTGCAGCAGCTGGTAGCTTAACACTCTGTGCCACAACACAGAGCCTGACATTTCTCTTTTTAGAGACTATAGGAGAGAAATTATCCAAGTTTACGCCAATGGGAAGCAAGCAAAAAAAAAGTTGCAATTATGACATTAATTTTTCTGCATTTTTATAGAATTAAGAAAACATGTATAGTTGATATTCCTTTGAAAATATATTCAGCTTTTTCTTCATAAAGCAATTCATTGTAAACAAATAACAGGTTTGTACTTTTTAAACCTAGGAATACACATTGTTGTATTGACCTCAAAGCTGTGTCAACTTATGGTATGCTCATAACTGCACTTTGCGCTACATCAATCATGAGCTTTGTAAATTACTTATGTAATTTATTTTCATACAGTTTGTATTAATTTTATAAGACTGTTAATAACCTTTATTTGCTTTTGGAAATATTTACTTTTATTGGGAAAGCAGATGTATAGAGAAAAGAAGAGATAAAGAGATAAGGTCTTCCATCCACTTGGTTCATTCCCCAAATGACCACAACAACTAGAGCTGAGCTGAGATTAAGCCAGGGGCTTCCTCTGGGTCTCCCATGTGGGTGCAGAGTCTCAGGCTCTCAGGCCATCCTTTACTGCTTTCACTGGCCAGAAGCAGAGAGCTGGATCAGAAGTGGAGCATGCAGAACACAAATTGACATCCATATAGGATACCAGCACCACGAGGTGGAGGGTCAGTCTGCTGATCCACAGTGTCAGCCCCATAACCCCTCCCCTTTTTTTTCTTTTGAATCAGGTTTTTGTCTTAAGCTCTTTCTTCTCCCACTCACTAATTTGACATCGAAATTCAGCAAGAGAGAAAAGCATAAAAATTTCAGTGATGACTATACCATAACTTAAAAATTAAAACATGGTTCATTTTCTAGGAAGGAAATTGTTATCAAGCAACAAAACAAAAAATTATCAGCATCGATGTTTCGTAAAACTCATCACTTTGGCAACAATCTAGCAATGTTTGAGTCTGTTCTCTTAAAACATACACAAAAAGTTACAGGGGTTTTTATCCTTACCAAGTAATAAAAAGTTAACTCTTTTTCATCTTTCAGAATCTGTCTGTTCAAGATGTAATATGCCCGAATATTCTGGGTTTGTCCACAAGGCACAGAATCAATAAGATCAAGTTGAACGTAACTCCTGCTTGGTGAAAAGACAGAGGTTGCTACAATCTGTGCTGGTGTGTGATGCTCTTCAAGCCACACGTGATGAAAGCAGTGGTTATTGTTTTTGTAAATGACCTAATGGAAAAATAAACAGACATAAGTTGTTACATTACACATAGATGTAATAGAACCATCTAAATGCTCTTTCCTCAGTACAAGATAATTCACTAACAGCTTTTTCTTCTTATTGGAAAGTCAGATATACAGAGAGGAGGAGAGATAGAAAGGAAGATCTTCCGTCCATTGATTCATTCCCCAAGTAGCCTCCATGGCTGGAGCTGAGCTGATCCGAAGCCAGGAGCCAGGAGGAGCCAGGAGCTTCTTCTGGATCTCCCACGCAGGTCCAGGTTCCCAAGGCTTTGGCTGTCCTCAACTGCCTTCCCAGGCCACAAGCAGGGAACTGGATGGGAAGCAGGGCTGCCAGGACATGAACCAGTGCCCATTTCGGATCCCGGCATGTGCAAGGTGAAGACTTTAGCCACTAGGCTATTGTACAGGACTCCATGAAAATCTTTCTTAAAATCACTTAGATGTACTAACTCAATAAGCATTTCATTCGCTTTTCGAATCATTTGTGACTGTAAGTGGCATAGGAACATCTGAACACTCAACAGAAAGCAAGGGAACAAAATGCTGCAGGAACCAAATTCAGTCTAACCTATGAATATGTCAAACATTTCAATGACCTACTAAGATGATTGATTGCCTTCTGGAACTGGACTCCGTTGTACCCAGAATAACTGAAAGTAAAACTTACCAACAGAAGTTTTTTTTTTCTTATGATTTAGGCTCTGCATTGCTTCATTGATACTTCAGCTTTTTGTTACCTGTTTTTGTCCTTGTCACTTCCTTGCCTCTTGTACACAACTCTTTCCACTCACCGTAACAGCAATGGTGGACATTGTAAAGTTGGTGGTGTCAACGGAAATGTCCACCAAACCATTTTCATCAGTAGTAAAACTGAGTTGGATTGGAAGTCCATCCACAAGGACAGACACGGTTTCGTTGGGAATCGGTCGATCCTTGTCATCAACCAGGAGAGCCTAGAAAGAAGAAAGCGGTGGTTTTGACATGGGCCATACATCAACAACAACTTGTACTTTTTGCTATGTTCACCTCATCGCATTTTAAACTTTGCTATCATTCACTAAGAATCTTAGAAGACCAGATTTGTTTTCTGGGCTCTAGCCTATGATGTTTTCTAATGCTATTTAAGAAATGGCTTTGAAGCTAGATGGTATTTTAGTTATTTGTCATAATTCACTTTATGTATTGCTGGAGTAGAGTATGATGCTTACAAAATGTCTCACAAAAAATGATGAGATTGGCTAATGCGTGTTTCCATTGCCTCACCTGCTTCTCCTCTGTGCTGGTGAGGCAATTGTGGTTTATTTGGTAAGTTATTTGAAATAAATCATGCATTATCATTATAGCTTTCTGTTCAAAATCCTTTCTTGCTTTATAATTAATGAGAGAGAGAGAGAGAGAGAGAGAGAGAGAGAGAGAGTCACTCCCACCCACCAGTTCATTCCCCCAAGTGCCTGCAGTGGCTGTGGCAGAGCAGGGCTGGAGATGGGAGCTGGCAGCTCAAATTTGCTCTGTCAGGAAGGCTGAGATCAGGAGCCCGAAACAGTTATCAAACCCATATTCCTCCATATAGGATGCAGATGTCCTGTCCAGTCATTGAAATGATTGCTTTTTAAAACTTTTAAGATTTTTATTTCTATATTCCAAGACCACTCGCATCACAAATTCACGGAAGTGAGATTGCAATGTTACCTTTTGCAGTTGCTTCATCACCATTTCAGCAGACGGCTCTATCTACTATCTCATGTCAGAGTGCAGGGGTCCTCCTAGGAGCCATTTTCTCTCGTCCACTGCCTGTCTCTGACCCGCTGCCTGATGTGATTCCTTCCCTCTGTCAGACATGTTTTAATCCCGATAACCTCTCTGAGACAGCTAAGATTCTGGTTAAAACCACAGCATGGTATTTTTTTTTCTTTCAGATTTCCAATAGCTTCTTATTTAATCTTTCACAATCCTCCCTCTTGTCACATTACCCTTAGTTGAAACTGTTGTCTCTGCAGCCCAAGATGATGTGATCATGACACTGGTCTGAAAATACTGTCACTTCTCAATGCAAAAGTCTTAGTAGATATCCTCAGTGTCACTCAAGGTCTTCTGCTTTATCTGCAGTCATTCAGCCAATTTGGTTGGGCTGGTTATCTTGGCAGCAGTCACACTGTCTGCCTTTTAGTCTTGGCCTTTGAATAGCTACTTCACACCCAGGACCTTTGCCATTCTCTTTCTAGCTTCAATGCCTGGTTGTCTCATGCTGAGCCTCAGGTAGGCAGTTTTCTGACAATCTTTCTACTTGAAACGGTCTTATCAAACTACATCTGTATTATCTATGAATTATTTTCTTACCAATTTCATACAAAATATTAAAAATGAGTGGAGAAAAATTAAAAATCCAAAATATAAAACGAGGGAATTACCCATTAATTGCCAATTCAAACGTTTAGCTACTTTGTAGAAAATTTAAAATGTTGGAAATCTCACATCTCTTGTATGAAAGCTGGTAGTTCACTCGACTAGATACTGTCAGTATTGAGCTTTTGCTTGTTGGTTTTTCTCCCATCTTGTGAAGCTATTTTCTTCAGTTTTTTTTCCATCTCTATCTCTTTCTTTACCTCTAAAAAACTTACACAAGTGAATAAAAATTTTTAAATACACACACACACACACGTAATAGAAATGTGCTCAAAGTTTCAACCAAACTACATATACACAAATACAGACGCACATTAGGAATTTTTTGATTATATTTGCCTTTTAAATTTATAATTTCTTTATCATTTGATTTCTTGGGTGTTTTTTTTTAAAGGTGTACTTGAAAAGCCAAGTTAATTACACAGAAAGAGAGCAAGAAATGTCCTCCTTTGCTACTCCATTCCCCCAAATGAATGCAACGGCTGGAGTCTGGGGTTGTGCCAGGTCAAAGCCGGGAACCTGGAACTCCATCCAGACAACCCACATGAATGCAGGGATTGAAACATTTGGGCCATCTTCCCTTGCCCTCTCGGGTGCATAGCAGGGAGTCGGATCAGAAACGGAGCAGCAAGGACTCAAACCAGACACTTCTATGGGGTGCTTACATTACAGGTAGTGGCTTGACTTGCGCTACAAAATATACAGTCCCCATTTATGTTCTTACATTAAGTACTCTTTTTGGAAAAGAGATTGATTTTAAAATTCATTTTCTAACTCTTATGTTCCAAATTTGAATGTGTTGAAGAGGTATTTTTTTTTTTACCTGCCCCCGAAAAGGTATTCCAAGTCTGTAACGTGATTTTACTTTTGTGAATTTCATTTTGCTTATATTATTTGTGATTTCACTCGATCCAGAGCCAGTTAGTTCCACCCCTGAAAAAGAAGAAAGTGAAGTTGAATAGTTCTACATCTTCACTGCCTTCCACCATTTCAGCTTCACTCCATCGTAACAAAAGATGACCCCTGTTTCGTTTTTCTTACCCTTTCCAGAGCTCCTCATATTTAGAATATAGGAGTTATTTCATAAACAGTTTGACGTTAGCCTCATATTCACATGAAACATTATGTTACCCTCATCCCTGCTTCATGGTATATTCCTTGTTCCACTTACTTGTTCTCAAGCTCTTCTCTTGTGCCCTTGTCCATTTTTCATTTTGTATCTCTCACTTTCCTGCATTCCCCATAAAGCTTCTGACCACAAATTCTTCACATTCTAACCTTTCTATCTCAAACTAATTTTCCAACAAAAATCTCTCTTTTTATGGCACTGTGTTCACCACTGTAATTGGCAAGAAAGCAAGATCTGTTGTTAATGTGCAGGGAGAAAGATTTCCACACTTCAGGACAGAAATTTTCACGGACAATTTGTGAATGTTTCCTGAGGCAGACAGAAACGTGTCCTGGATATTTTGTGCATTCATTCTCTTTTAAGTTTGTCAGAGGAATGAATCTTTTTTTATTTTGAGATTGCAAGTTTTAATTGATTGCTTTTGCCATATTATCACAGCAATTCTTCTCCAGCTACTTCTTACTGTGACTAATGATATTTCTGTAACCCAAGCCCCAAATTCAGCAAGTTGTATTTTATCTTTAAATAATATCCTGATGCATCTCACTGTAGCATTTTTTCATTTAGCCTACCTGCTTATTATGTTGGCTAGAATGATATTTGAGAGAGAAAAATTCTCAAATGAATTTTAGAATAAGTTGGATATAGGTCCACTGTTCTGCATAAAGTCTATGATTTATTTCCTGCCACAGTTAGCATTTGCTTAACTTTCATATTCTACCAAGATTTAGTGTATTTTACACTTATAATAATTCCCTTTCCATTGCTAACCTTTCAAAATACCGCCCGTTCCATATGAATCAGGTCAATTATTATAGTGTGGGCATCACATTGTCTTCATTGAGCTTTCTTCTGAGTCTCTATTAGAATTCATGATCTCTCTTTGTGTTCATTGGGTCCTTAGCGTTCATGTTTTTTTTTGTGAAAATTCTATCATGGCTATCCATGCATACAGAATTCTGTTTTGAAACACTGTATTTTTTAAGGAATGACCACATCACTCATGGGCTCAGAGTGTACAATTTGTTTCACATGGAATGGAAGCTTGGTGAATGCACATCAAATGAGGGAATATTGAAAAACAATACCAACCTGTTCCCTCCTCTCTGACTGTGGCTTCCACTTGTATGCTCATGTCGTACCATCTTTGTCTCAGCTGAAACACTTTAGTCTTTACGAGTTTTGTGATGCATCCCTGATTATCTGCCTGAAAGGAAAGAAATTTTTCAGTCTTCTGATACATCACCAACAGAGACAACTATCAGCTTATGAAAACTTTTATTAGTCTTATGAATAAAAATTTTTAAATGTTCTGGCAGAAATTATGGCTGCCTGCAGATGTTATCTATGTGAATATAAATGGCTTAAACTCATCATTCAAAAAACAAAGATTTACAGACTAGATAAAAAAAAACAGATCCTGTTTGTTGCCTACAGGAGACACATCTCACCAACAAAGACACATGAAATTGAAAGTAAAAGGATGGAAAAAAATGTTTTAGGCTAATGGAAAGGAAGAGCAAGTTGTGTAGCCATTCTAATATCAAATAACATAGACATCAATGCAAAAAGCATTAGAAAAAATGAAGAAGAACACCACAGAATGATCAAGGGATCTGTCAGCAAGAAGAAATTATGATGATAAATATATGTGCACTAAATACCAGGGCACCTAGCTATGTAAAACAAAAGTTAATGGATTTAAATGGATTGATAGACTCCAATAATAATAATGGGGGAATTTAACACCCCATTAATCTCAGTGGACAAATCGATGAGACAGAAATTCAGCAAGGAAGCAACAGATTTCAGACAATAATACTAATGGACTTCATTGATAGTTATAGAACCTTCCATCTTACAGATGCACAGTATGCTTGCTTTTTATCAGTGCATGGAACCTTCTCCAGGATTAATTACAGTATAGGCTAAAACACAAACCTTAGCAAAATTTTAAAATCGAAATCATACTATTTAACTGTTCAAAATGTCATGGAGTGAAACTGGAGACCAATAAGTCAAAATACCCTTGAAGATATGAAAATAATTGAAAACGGAAAAATATGATACTAAATGAACAGTGGGTTATTGAAGAAACGAAAGAGAAGACAAAAATCTGCTTGAAATGAATCAAGGCATCAACACAACATACCAAAACTTACAGGACACAATGAAGGAAGTGTTAAAAAGAAAGTTTATTTCAATCAATGTTGATGTCAAGAAGTTTAAAAAAAAAATCAAGTAAACTGGCTAACCATAAATCTGAAGGAACTAGGAAAACAACAGCAAAACAATCCCAAGATTAGGAAGAGAAAAAGAAACAATCAAAATAAAGAAGGAAATAAACCAAATAGAGACCAAGAAAAGATCCAAGAGATCAGTGAATCAAAGGGCTTATTTTTTGAGAACGTCAATGAAATAGATTCACCATTAGCTGAAGTAATCAAAATAAAGGAGGGAGAAGATGCAAAACAGGCAAAATGAATTATCCATATAAATTTGTGAGTTCACCCCTGAAGTGGTCTCCTAACAGTTCCAATCGATCTCTAACATTTCTATGATTCTATGGTTTTGCTTGACACTTTCAATAATTTTTATTGAATGCTATATTATGTTATTAACAAGATATGGACTTGGTGTCTTGAGGAAAGCAGTTTCCACATACCTGTTGACTGAATTCTTCACAAACGTTTAGTGGAAAATTGCTCTGGCAGAAGGAAGGTTGCTGCATGACATTCCTGCATACATTGATGGTCACCAGAGAAGGGACGGGTTTTCCATATGTGTAACTATAAGAACACAGTGGTCACAGGAAAATATATCTCATATAACTCCGATTACATCCATTCATACAGCCATTTTATATTTCTATACATTTACTTTGGAAGTATTTATTCTGGGAATGTGCTCTACCTACCCAAACAGTAACACATATGATGCTACTTAACAAAGAAAGAATATTTAACGGAACCTTTGAAACTAATCCAAATGGAAAATAACCGATTTAGTTTTTCTCATATCCTTCGCCAATTTCGCCAGTAAGACTGTCCCATTTCCCTCTTTCTCTGCAGTCAAATTATCTCCCTTATAATTCTACTAACATAAACAAACAGTGTCTGAATTGCTCTAGGGTAAAAAAAATAAATAAACTAAGGTTATGTAGAAAGTATATGTGCAATTCCCACCTAATGCAATAGTATTCTAAAAGGATAAGTGTGCAGTTAGATGGGAAAGTAGTAGCTATACAACAAAAATATGATACGTGACAATATCCTAATGACTCCGTTTCATTCAGCCAAACATGATGAGACAATATGATGCAATGCTGGAATGCATTGGTCCTGCATTGTGCCTTACGCATCACCTACATGGAAATTACCTGGTACATGCAGTGAGCTGCAGGTTCCTGAGTACTCATGCTTATTTATGTTAGTAGGTAAGGCCAGGGAATCAGTGCTTTAAGAACTTCCCATATCTCCTGAAGCACACTGAAGCCTGCAATTTATTTTCGTATCCCTACTTAGAACTAGATAGGGATTAGGGTCAGAGCCCCAACCTTTCCTCTATTGTTCTCTTCCTCATGAGCTTTTGAAAGTACTCATAAATCATTTGATAAACTGCAATTTTTCTCGAGTCTAATCTTTAAGCCTTAGTCAAAAGACTTCTTGGAAAAAAATCAGGACATTAATGTTGATGTTGTTCATGTCGTTAGCAACATTTCTTGTGTGTATGTGGAGGAGACTCTAATGAATTGAAAAGGCAATTGAGGAAGAAATGACTCTGGTGTATATTCTTAATTCTACCATATATTTCCAGGACTTCAGCTACAGCACATGCTTGGTTTCTACCAAGTGATTTTTCCATGCCTTTTTATGCTTTAAAAAATTAGGATCAATAAAGAAGATTGAGATGGTAGTACAGAGAGTGACACAGAAAGTGTGGATGTGAGCTCTATAATTGAATGATTACACTTAACACAGTGTCTGGAATACATAAGGCTCCATAGTGTTGTACACATACACTGTTATATTTATTACATATAATCATATATAATGTTATGCTTATTTCCCCATTTTATGAGTTTTTCCATGAGTCCCAAATTATGTATATTAATATATTCACCTCTGCTTTAAAAAACCAGAATGTGTGTTAAGATGTTACAAAACATTAGCTCCACGTGTGCTTATGGAGCTCTTCTTTATGTTTCTCTGGGTTATTTGAAATATTTTAAAATATAAATAGGAAATAACAATTTTTTTAAAATTGAAAACTGCTTAATTTTTTCATACTATGCATTCCCGTTAACAGTGGTGAAGAGTTCAGACTGCAGAGCCAGACTGCTGTAGTTAACTGCAGCCTGACATGAATAATCTAGGATCATTTGAGTTAGATCTTAAAAATGTCTTTATGTGAGAGTTTCCTCATCATAAAGTAAGAATAATAATTTTCTCCACATGACAGATTAGTGTAAAACTAAAAGTATTTGTGAATAGAATGATCTCTGTAACACTGTCATTTCAAATATGCAGTAAATGATTTTATTACTAGAAGTGTCATATTATTAAAAGTGTCATGTGCTACTATCTCTTGCTCCGAGTGGGAGCATCTTAAACAAGTTGGATGAGTCATTCACACTCTAATAAAAAAAATAACTAAAAGTTCAGTAGCCATTATTTCCAACAAACCCTTCAATAAAAGTAGAAAACAGAAATGGGATCTTTTTAAAAATGAAAAAACTCACGATGCACAGACGGTCACTGGAAATTCTTCATCTAGAATACCAATCGTCTTGGGCATTTTTACTTTGACTTCAAATTTTGGCAAAACTGTGTTGTTGAAAAAAACAACAGAGAAAAAGAGGTGAGAGCGGGCAGCAGACTGTGTTAAATACCAGCAGTGGACTCTTGCAGAACCTTGTCAGACAGGCTCACAGGAAAGCACTTGGACTACAGTGGGGAACGCCAGGGACCGTCCCAATAAGGAGCTGTCACTCACTACTTTAGGCATTCTGTACTTTGTTACCTCTGTCATGTTTCCTGCATTCTCCTTTGAATGTGTAGAGAGGTCAAAATACAGAGCCGTTAAACGCAAGATCATCATAGCTGTAGTAACAGCAGGTGCAGTGGGTTCCTGTGTGTCCTTACTCTGTCTTTTCTTCCCAACTTGTGTTGACTAATGGAGCTCTGATGCCCACCACCAGACAGATGCCATGGGCCTGCTGAAGTGGCAGCATGGTAAGAGCTCTTAGCCCCGCCCCATCACTTATGCAAATTGTTAATCCTACAATATAACTTTATTCTTGGACTCTAAAGATAGTTCTGGATAGTTTGCAAAAATCATGTGTTATGCTAGAACTCTTTGATCACGTCATGAAATACATAATTTACATTAGAAAATTCACATGGAGTATGTGCTTGTCCTCACACTTAACATGCCACCTAGGACACCCACATCCCAGATTGTAGTGTCTGGTTTCTAATCCTGGTTCCACTTTCAATTCCAGCTCCCTGCTAATGTGCATATCTGGAAGCAGAAAGCAATGGTTCAAGTACTTGGGTCCCTGTCACCTCTAGCTGAGAAATTTGAAATGCGTTCATGGGTCCTAACTATGTCCTGGAACAACACAAACCTCTTTCTCTCTCTCTCTCTCTCTCTCTCTCTCTCTCTCTCTCTCTCTCTCTCTCTATCTATCTCTCTCATCAACTTTTTTTTTCTGCTTGGGAAGGCAGATATATCTACAGAGAGAAAGATCTTCCATATACTGGTTCACTCCCCAAGTGGCCACAATGGCCAGAGCTAAGCTAATCTGAACCCAGGAGCTTCTTCCTGACCTCTCACATGGGTACGACTGCTTTTCCAGGCCACAAGCAGGGAGCTGGATGGGAAATGGAGCAGCTGGGATCCAAACCCGTGCCCATATGGGATCTTGGCAGATGCAAGGCAAAGATTTAGCCAGTGGGTTATTGCACCAAGTCCCCATCAAATAATTTTTAAAGAATATATAAGATTACTTGTCTGATTTAACTCAGTTATGTTATACTTTCGGTGATTACTTGGTTGAACTACCGTCTACTTGGCTACTAAATTACTATAATTTAAGAATCATAGTTGATGCAAAGTAGGTTAAAGAGTACTATGAGATAATCCCAAGAAATACTTTAAGTTGTAAGATATAGGTAACAAGCAGGTGTATAATGCATATGGATGTAACATTGTCTTAATTAGTAAGTTATGCTTCAATGTGAAATGGTATTATTCAAAAATCTTATAACTCATAGATTTGGGAAATCTTCTAACTTTTCATGTATTTATATATTTCTTTGAAATGGGGATAATGTCTTCCATAGAGGGCAATTATAAACATTAAATGAGACAGTTCATGAAAAGTGCTTAGTAAATACTCAGGTGGATAAGAACTTTGTTAAAGTATTATATGCTACACCTTTGCTTGCTACCAATGTGCAAAAATTCCCCAGTATCAACTAGTTCAATGTCACAAATGCCTTACGTAAGAATTCTTACCATATTCCTGAACCTCAAAGGAGTGTTCTGTTCTTTTTCCTGGCTGCCGCAACACCACAACCTTGTAGGAACCCAGGATGGGTTCCACTGACAGTGGGAAAGAGAGTTGGGTGAGTCCCCCTTGCAGTTTGATACTTTGCCACTGGAAAATGCGATTCCTCTTGGGATTCTGTAGGCACAATATTGTTAGTTCATGGAAACATTGAAAACATATACTTTTGGGATAAAGGGACAGCTTTTCAGATCAGAACCATATTGGGAGCTGAGTGGCTTGTAAATTACTGTAAAGGGATTCAGCAAAGTTTTCTAAGAATTACAGAAAAAGAGCAATAAGTTTACCAACTATGAAATACTGTAGATGATGTGTCATACTGATACCAGTTTTTGATATTATGCATGTCCATTTTGCTCAGAAATATACAATAAGTCACTAAACTGCATCATCTCATGGAATGTTTATTCCTCCAATTACATGTTGCCCAAAGAATTTAAGGAATGCTTATTTAATTTTGATGCAAAGGGGGGTGGAAGTGGAGCTGTGAGAAAGGAGTATTTTAGCAACTTGCAAGGTTCCTATTCCAATTGAACTGTATAGTAATGCACCCACCTCGATATAAACAACAGAGAACTGGAAAAAAAAAAGAAGAAATAGAATGAGCATGTGATGTAACATAGAAAAAAACATGAACTCAATATTAATGGAGTTTATTGATCAAAGCAAATAAGCCTCTACATTTCTTACCCAAAAAAAGAAATGTCCCATTTGGTTCATAGTCCCTTTCATACTAAATTTTGGGATGTGCCCCTCTCAAGGAGTCATGCTTTTCCTTTTGTCAAATAACACAATTAAGGAAATTTTATCAGATTTTTAGAAAGCCTAGATAATGAGTTAATGATTGTTTTGCAAGTGGCATTTGCTATTGTTTGAGAAAGAAACCAAATGCACTTCTTTCCTTTCATTTTGTAAAAAAAGAATTGGAATATGCAGGAATGGAACTTCTGCTAGGAATTTAAGAATGTGGGTGATGAACTGCCTTGATTCCAACCCTTCACATCCTCCCAGCTGACCACAGGTAGCCTTATGAGATCTTTCCAATGATAGACATTGATATCTTCTATACCTATCTCAGGTTTTCCAAGGGATAAACCTTACATTCTTGTCTGTTTTCCCCAAGTTCATTCACTGTTCCCAGACTCACCGTTTCATTCAAAGGGTGAAAACTGACATCCACAGAGACGATGCGGAATCTCACTGAAACACAAAGATTTTCCCCGTGTAACCCATGAAATGGTAGCTCAGGATAGCAACAGCCTACCAGAATGCCCAGGACTGACTGCAGAATACATAAAGAAGAGCCCTACTCCCCACCCACCCAGTTACTCTTGTTTTGTCCTCCTCTACCTGTTTGTCCTGGTTTGTATATGGGCTTGTCTGTCTGGACAAAGACTATGCTGTCTGGCTCTGTGATGGGCACTGGTTTCTTCTGCATGAACTGCTGAGTTGGCCCCTTTACTTGCACCGTGATGAAGGGCAAGTTAGGCGACGCTGAAACCTGCAGAAAAGAAATGAGCTGAGGCACCCCGTTTGCCCAGCGGTCAGGATGCTCAGGATTATCCTGGTTAGCCCCCTGGGGAATTGGTAAGAGGCAAGATCTAAGCAATTAGATCTCCTAAGTTTTCTAAGTAGGTATTTAGACTGTATGACATGACAGTAACGATGGGTTGATTTGATTTCAAGGGAAAATGTCATTGCAATAAAGTGATCTAATTCTTCAAACCGTGTCAACAAAAGAAGTGGTGTATTTGCATATTCACAGCAATATAGTATTATTAAAAGGTTGATTACCTTTGTTTTTCAAAGGCTAACAATAATTTTATCTTACTTTTATAGTATGCTACCCAGTGTGATTAAACAGTTTCCTTATGAATCTTTGACTTTATTTTAATATTCCCAGTATTTATCTTTGCAATGAAAGGAGTTTCATTCACCAAAGTTTAAGATAAAATGAAATCCTTTTTATAAGCACTGTTGCCTTTCATATATATCCCTAGAACTATTTGTATGGCCTGAGCATATCCAGTAGAATTTTCATGAACAGCATCTAATTTGAAAATCATCGTTTTCCTCATTCTCCTGGTTCCTTATGGTGGTGCTTCCGTTTGTGAGGAATCAGGACACATACTAACGATAATGATGCTCTTTGTCTACCAGTCTCCCATATCCCTGGATGATACTGACAAGAAAAGGGATGCAGAAAAAGAAGTTCCTCTGGGTCACCGGGCCTGTAAAGAGGTTTTTCTTCTGTGTTCCATACTCCAGAGTCATGGTCAATGTCACTGTCTCATTCAGGTGTTGAAGGATAACACAGGCTTGTTCAGAAACCCCGGCAAAGAGTTCTGATGGAACCAACACTAGGTAATGCCTGTGGAGTAGAGAAGTCTGAATCAACCATGGAAAAGTACAGAGTCACTGTTAATTCTCAATGTTTGCAGGATCATTTTACAATGGATGGATGACCAACCATAGGACATAGTCAGGGGATGGCAGCAGGGTGCTTCTCAAAATCTAACCCCGAAGGTACGAGGAACTCAAGGAACCTCATATCAAACCTTGCGCATTTCCGGTTGTCATGGAAATATTCTTCCTTGTAATAGTTATGGGCAAGCAATTAAAATTCACCATTCACAAATTACAAACCATCATCAGGTAAGGCACTAAGAGTTTGTCAGGAGGTGTTTGGGGATGTCAAATGGATGATATCAAATATCCTTTTGTTCCAAAAAAGCTGAAATAGTGACATTTAATATGTAGGAGGGAGTTGGATTGCTTTCCACTTCCATTTCAGAAGGAACATTAGCATTGCTTTTTTTCCCTACTAAACAAATCACTACTCAGACACACTCAACTCCTGCTGTCCCCATTTGCTTTCACTTGCAACCACTCAACACACTGTACTTTGTGATGTTGCCTGTTTGCACATGCTGCTGTCTTTTTGGGTGTCCTTGTCTAGCTGGAAAATATCTAGTTGCTTCATAGGACTTATCTCAAAGAGCAAAGAAATTTTCTCTCTGCAAAATTTGGGTCATGAACATTCTGTTACATCAAGCCTTAGGAAGAGTAGGATTTCTTTGTTAGTATTTTCTCAGAATCCTGCAATGGCTGTTTCTCTGGTTATGTATTTATATATATAATAAATATATAGGCATATATAATATATACCTTATTTAATATATATAATGCAAAATATGTGTTGTTGTGCTACACACATACACATATGTAAAATTTTCAATTTTCTGTGCACAACTTTTTCTTTATCTATAGAGAAACTTTATAGTGTGATTCGTTGAGGACAGTATCTGAATTTCGTTCAGCTATATAGTCCCAAGATTTCATGCCAACCTCTCAAGGCTAGCTGAAAGAGAGGCTAAAGACATACAAATTTTAGATTTTCTACAAGTCATGCAGACATTGACCAAGCCCATGGTGTCCATTTTCTGAGCTGTTCTATGGTTTTGTTAAAATTCTATTTGCCTGGTGACGTTTTCATAAATGCCACTGCCCTGTGCTTCTAAGACTTCTGGAATTGGTACAATCTTTTTCTACACAAGCTATAGCTTACTAATTTTCCAAGCATTTGTGGCAACAAATCATTACATAAGGAATCAGGAGATAAATAAAGCTTTAGATACCACCCTGAAAAAGAAGAAGAGCGACAGAATTTTCTAGAAGTATTGCTTACGGTTTTTCTGCAGCTGAAGCATCTCTGGGAAGGAGTAGAAAAGGCAGAATCAAGATGGACAAGGTCAGTAGATTCCCCCTCATGGTGTGGAGAGGACTTGGGGAGGAATGGGTCCAGGCCCCTGGTTTTTTGAACTCTGTTCTTGCTCCAGATTCACTTGCTTTTATTTTATCTAACAGGAAGTGAAAGCAAACTACGCAACATTCATTTTTGTAACATATTAACCACTTGTGGTGTGAAACGAAGTCTTCTGTGGGACCTTCTCTACACCTTCTTCAGGATGATTAGTATTTGCTTTCTATTTCTCCAGGTAATTTTGGTGTTGAAAGCTTTTTTATATTTATTGATAACTTTACCATTTATCTCTATAACTAAAGATACTCAAAAGGATTTGCAAAGGGCTCGTGAGTAACAATAGCATTTTCTAGGTTGAGCGTTTCTCTCACTTTGGCTCACTGTCAGTCTTTCAAATAAATTTAAAAATAAACTTTAAACTTAAAAAGAATTATCAGTTGGCTCTGCTCTAAGGCAAGCCTCGGTGTGAAAATAAATCTTTAATAAGTGTCAATTTTAAAATCTTAACAAAACAATGAATACAATAAAAGCTCCTTGCAAAAAACAGTACAATCAATACTAACAACACTTATACCAGAACCAGTAAATATCAAACGCAAGAGAATTTTGTTTGAATAGTTTCTTCATCAAATAAGTTTTGAATTTTATCTGCTTATCTCATACTGTGTGACCTTATGTGACTTTCATTATTACTAGAATGAAATGTTCAATTTTACTGCATTCTAGTTTTTAAAATTTTTTCTGTTGTTAGTCTAGTCATATTTTGTTTCCTATCAAGAGGATATAAGTACTTAGAAAATTGTTCACACGGAGAGGGAAATGAGGAAAGTTTTTGATATAAAATGTAATGCAATTGTTTAGGTTTCTACATTATAAATAAAAACCAGCACAGTGAGCTAATCCTCAGCCTTTGACACTGGCATCCAGTATGGGCTTTGGTTCCTGTCTTGGCTGGTCCACTTCTAACCCAGATCCCTGCAATGGCCTTGGGCCCCTGCACCCACATATGAGACTCAAAAAGAAGTTCCTGGTTCCTGGCTTAAGATCAGTCCAGCTTTGGCCATAGCAGCCATTTGGAAGCAGGTGGAAGATCTCTCTCTCTCTCTCTCTCTCTCTCTCTCTCTCTCTCTCTCTCTCTCTCTCTCTCTCCCCCTCCCTCCCTTCTACTCCCTCTCTACCATTCTCTGCAATTCTGACTTTAAAGAAAAAAATTTTTTTAATTAACATTTTCTACAATTCTGCCATCTACCCCTGTAACATACATGACTACAGAAAATTATAAAAATGAGATAGAACACATTTATAATAGTATGTTGCTGTTATACCTGGAATAGGCTTGAGATGGACGTGTGATCTGCAATGAGTTTAATATGCCATAAGTATAAAGGTTTTGCAAATACTAGTATTTTGGATTGTTTTTATAAAAGACTAAAAATTAGTGCTGTGGGAATATGCAGAAGAAAGCTCAGAAAATTACCAAAAGCACGAGGGCTTTAAGTCAAGCATAAAGATTCTCAAAAGCAAAGGATTCCATGCAACTGAAGTAGAGAAGGTAGAAAAGAGAGAAATTTGTGCATGTGAAGACCGAGAGTTCAAGGAGGCATGTGTGCAGGCTTAGATGAGTTTATTCTCCAGGATTAAATTTCCACTGAGGACTTAAATGGAGGAACAACATTGTTCTTGATAGATGATTTTCCAGTAGGCCATTTTTGTAACAGAAGGAAACCTAATGCAGTCTTGAATGAAAATTGCTTGTCATCCCATGATATATCTAAAATGAGGTGACAACTGTGAAAGAATATTTGCCTACAAGAATAGACCCTTAAGTAACGCCATCAATACTATCTGCAGTATTCATAGAATTGTTGATCCTGAGTGGTTTCAAGGATTCCTGACATAGTGTTGAAATAGAAACCAAAGCTGAATCCAAAGTAGATTTAGCCAAATATAAAATCTAAATTACGACTGCAGTGACAGCACTGTGAAAAGGAACTCATCAAGAAGTACATGGGTAAAGAGCTGATGTTGCAATTGTTGATAATTTGTTTAATTGTATAACAAAAGATTTTTTTAAAAATTATCAAAGTTATTCAAAACCTCTGTGGCAAACATCATTACCTTTGGAAGCATTTCTAAACCGAAGAGAAATATGTTTGCTGAGTGTTACGCAATCGTGAGTGGGTTGAAACATGAAAAGAAGTGTCCTTGCCGCCTTGGTGCACACTGAGTGGGAGGCAGGGTTAGGACAGTTTGCACATGCAGAATGAAATCAAAGCTCATATTAACGCATGGGGGGGGCATTATTAACTGTAATCATGTTCATGAAAAAAATGCAGCAGGAATGTTAGTTATGTGTCAGTGATTTGCTGATGTACAGTATTACTTGGTATGTAAATTATTGGCCTGGTAGAGAGCAGCATAGAAACATCATGTCCTCATGGAAAATATTTCCCTGCAGAATCTAAGTAACAGAAAAAATGATGAAAAGAATATGAGGGGCTGGCTTTGTGGGGCAGAGGGTAAGCTAACATTAGCATTCCATGTGGTTGGCAGTTCGAGTCCTGGCTGTTCTGCTTCAAATCTGGCTCCCTGGCGGTGTGCCTGGAAAGGCAACAGAGACTTGGCCAAATATTTAGGCCCCTGCATCCCTGGGGCAGACCCAGAAGAAGCTCCTTGTTTCTCACTTCTGCCCCTTGCCCAATTCTAGCTGATCTCTGGGCCATTTCATGAGTGGATGGAAGATCTCTTCCTCTCTCTTTCTCTCTGTAACTCTGCTTTAAAAATATTTTTAATGAATCTTAAAAGTAATAATAAAGAATCTGAGGAATGTGCAATTTTGCTCTTATTAAAATGTCTCACGTTTAAAATTATACTGTATTAATACTTAGAGATGAGGCCATCAGAGCTGCTATTTCTCCAACCTGTTTTGACTCAAGATTGCAGTAATACTTTGTCAATATACTTCATTACAAACTGCTACACCAGCAACAGATCAGTCCTCATCTTCCAACGGAGTCTTCAGTGAAAGTTTAGTCCAGGAGAATAGAATGTTCTTAAGCCTGCACACACACACACACACACACACACACACACACACACAGAGCCTTGCCAGGACTCCCAATCCCTACCTGCTCAAGCTGCTTTCTTCTTCTTTACTGTCTCTGCTTTGGTCAAACCAAATCCCTTGCATTCTTCTAGCACTTGAGTATCTTTACACTTAATGTAAAGCCCTTTTGCTTTTTGCGAATCCTCTCCTATATCCCACCCTCTGATAGGTTCACAATTTAACGCCCTCCTGTCCTTAAATCTTTCCTAAGGATGAACAGTTGGTCCAGGAATTATGTTACCGTTTGGGACATATAAATCTTATTTTTTAAAAAAATATAATTTTTATTTATTTTTATTGCAAAGTCAGGTATACAGAGAGGAGGAAAGACAGAGAAAAAGATCTTCCATCCACTGATTCACTCCCCAAGTACTGCAATGGCTGGTGCTGCAGCGATCCGAAGCCAGGAGCCAGGAACTTCCTCCAGGTATCCCACAGGGTCCCAAGGCTTTGGATCGTCCTTGACTGGATTCCCAGGCCACAAGCAGGGAGCAGAATGGGAAGTGTGGCTTCCCGGATTAGAATTGTGACCCCTATGGGATCCCGGTGCGTTCAAGGCGAGGGCTTAACCGCTAGGCCACCACACCAAGCCCCCCGAAAAACATTCTTGATAAAATTCTGTTAAAACAAATTCTTGTTCTTCCTAGAACAACAACAAAACAAAACAAAAAACACTAAAACAAAAGCCATTGATTTCATGTTTTTATTTATAAAATTGACATGACAGGATCATGACATATAATGTTAGATTTTAAAAAGGGAAGACTAGACGCTCAGTACAGGATAATTCCAATTGCATTTAGACAACAAAGGAAAACAAACAGCAGGAAAACACTGCACTGTGTGAATTTAATTGGCATTCTTTTATATACATGTCAATTGATTTTTTTTCATGTGCACATTCCAGGATCTTTTCCTTATGTTCGATTGAGGAGAGCTTGTCGTAGTGAAGATCACTTTTGGTCAACTCTGTTGGGAGTTCTATGCCCCTCCTGGATGCTGTTTCCCAATTCTTTCTCTAGATTAGGGAAATTTTTCCTTATTATTTCATAAAATACATTTGTAAATCCAGTTTCTCTTTCTGCACCTTCTGGGAGTCCCATAACTCTTAAAAATTGCCCTTTTAATAGTGTCTTTCATTTCTTAAATACTTTTTTTTTTAGCTTGACCCAGCTCTACTTGCAGTTTTTTGTTTTTTCCCCCTGGTGACAGGAGATATCTTCCTATTCTGAGATTCTTTCTTCTGTTTCATTCATTCTATTTTGGAGACTCTCCACTGTACTTTTAATTTGCTCCACTGTATTCTTAATTTCTGACATATCAGCTTTCATTTGATTCATTTCCTGTGTAACATATTCCTTGAATTCATTGAATGCATGCTTTACGTGCTTCTCATTGTTGATAAGAAGCTTTATAACAAGTGCTTGAATTCTGTATCCCCCATTTTCTCGATGTATTCCTCAGTGAACTGTTAGGTTAGCAAAGGGTTTTGCTTCTCTGCAGGGGATTCTTCAGTAATATTCATTGTGCCTTTGTCTCTTCTTTTTTCTCTTGGTCAATGTGCTTCCAGTTATCAGATTCCTCTCTTTGGCCAGGTTACTAAGCTGTGTCATCTGCAGGTGTACAATTCAGTTTTACTTATTGCAGTTGGTACATGGCTCTTTGTTTGCAGTCACTTGTGCCACTCCCTCCAGTAAGTTCCAGGTCTGGGTGCTGATGTTATATTTCCACCATGGTCTCCAAAGCCCCAGCTCCTGGCTCACCAGACTCCACCTCCTGTGATCCCATGCTGAGGCTGCACCATTGTCCATAACAACCTTTCTTCCATTTCTGATTTAAGGAGTACCCAGGATTAGGGAGACACCAGGTGTCCTAAACAGCTAGGTTGTTGGTGGTGCTGATCTTGCTGGAACCTGTTGGCCTTTAGGTCTGGGAGCTACACAGAACTATTTTGACCCATATGATGCCAAAGTTAGTATTATTTTCC